CTTTCGGTAAAGTCACGTATTCAGACGCTGTCTTTCCGACAGACCTGTTCTTCACCTGAGGACGGCTGCTTGCGTTGTGGCCGAAACGTCGTGAGAATAATTGTATTATGTATTATGTTTTATTTTTATTATTTTATTATTTCCCTTCTACGTGACTTTAGCCGAAAGAACCAAGAAGAGAGTTGTTATAATGAACGCGTTGCCTCCAGCAGACGTCTCCGTGTCGTTAGTTATAGACGCAACATTTTTCTGGAGTCTTGCGTATCTCTCTTTCTCTCCACGTGGTCGCGTGGATTTTTCTCCGTGACACGAGGACCAGGTCGCTTCCGCAAAAGAGAAACGTCCTCTAAGTGGGGACTTAAACACTTCGTCAAAAAATAAAAACATTTCGACTTAAAGCTTTCGTGACTGCAGGGATTCATCTTCTTGATTTGAAGCTTTCGTGACTGCAAGGATTCATATTCTTAGGTTTTTTCCGTAAAGTCACGTAGGTAAAACATTAAAATTAATAAAAGTAAAATGAAATAAAAATCACGACGTTTCGGAGGCAACACAAGCTTCCGTCTTCAGGTGGAACCGTCACAGCCACGACAGCTGTACTTGATACGACAGCTGTACTTGATACGACAGCTGTACTTGATACGACAGCTGTACTTGATACAGCTGTCGTGGCTGTGACGGTTCCACCTGAAGACGGAAGCTTGTTTTGCCTCCGAAACGTCGTGATTTTTATTTCATTTTACTTTTATTAATTTTAATGTTTTACCTACGTGACTTTACCGAAAAAAACCTAAGAATATTCATCTTCTTGGTTCTTTCGCTAAAGTCACGTAGAAGGGAAATAATAAAATAATAAAAATAAAACATAATAATTATTTTATTATCTTGGTTCTTTCGGTAAAGTCACGTAGAAGGGAAATAAAAAAGATAAAACATAATAATTATTTTATTCTGTTTTATTTTTATTTTGTTATTATTTCCCTTCTACGTGACTTTGCCGAAAGAACCAAGAAGAAAAATAAAAACAGTTGGACGAACCGGGTCTTGAGTCTTTGCCACCCCCCTAGGTCGACTCAGCCTTAAATGAGCACTTGGTGCGGTGTGTACAACTTCAGCGCTGGGGGAGGGGGGAGGGGGGGAGACAAAGATGGCCTGGCGTGGTGCTGTTCTGTGTTCATATTTTGTTTCTTGCGGTTGCACCCGACTTAAGAGCCGCATGGCTCACAGGGCTCTACCTAATTAATGAAACTTGAAAACTGGTGTTGTAGTAGTAGGTTTTTACCCTTTAAACTGGTACAAAACTGACACCTTTATACAAGGCATCATGTTTGCAATAACCACAACACAAGTAGTCAAAATGCAAACAAAAAGAAACAACTCTGATAATGATATGCACAGTCCTTGAAGTTGATTGGTCCACACCCGAGACAGCTTTCCTTAGAGCCTAGTCTCCATTGGTGTTGGACCAGATGACACCAAAAGGCGTACAACTCAAAAACAGCGCACTATCAGAGGACCAATCAACTTCAAGGACAGTGCATATTATTATCATTATTATCAGAGTTGTTTCTTTTTGTTTGCATTTTGACTACTTGTGTTGTGGTTATTGCAAACATGATGCCTTGTATAAAGGTGTCAGTTTTGTACCAGTTCAAAGGGTAAAAACCTACTACTATATTTTGCCACTGGTGAAGGAGGTCTCATAGTTGAAACTTGTGTGTTTTGCTGACCAAAATTTTAAAGAAAGGGCAGCAGCAGATGCGGCAGATTACTTGGGCACAAATGGATACTGTTAAACTCTGCGGTAGTGGCGTGGACTTGTGGAGTCGTCACCCCAGAATGGAGACCGCACAACGCATCACGACTGCGCCGATCCGTGGGTTATGAAGTCGTTTTTTTAAGCTGTGAAGTGATCGAATCACTGCAGTGATGAAAATAAATTATGGATTTATTTTTGCCCAAGATGTCATCATTTATAAGTCGCCTGCGTGCGTGTGTGTTTCTTTGTCGGTCTGAATCGTTCATGTGTCAGGTCACGAGTTAAGGATTATCAGATCACGTTTTTGACGTTGTTAAGCCTAGGGGAGTGGCCCCCTTTCTAGTGGCAGCTGTCCCTGTGCAGCAACAATGTCAATGCATCAGCAGCCGAGCCAAGTGGGTATTAAAGACCCAAATAAACTATTTTTATTTTACCAGGACAGGGCCCCACTTAGCTATGAAGCTCTTTTCCAGAAGCGACCAGACTGTCAGGAATGATAACTCAAGTGGATTGCTGTGTGGACATTTATAGCAGCAAATACTCTAAACGCCTGACGTTGATTCTAAATGTCAACGGGGAAAAACGGGAGGGACCCGGAGAAAAATCCACGCGACCACGCGGAGAGACACAAACTCCAAATATATAACAGCAGGCGTCACCAAGGTCGGGATCGAACCCACGACTTCCTGCATAGCGGGCGAGGTAGTCAACATCTCCTAGCCACCGTGATGATGATGAGAGACACAAACTCCAAATATACAGCAGCAGGCGTCGTCAGGGATTGGGATCAAACCCACGCCCTCCTGCATAGTGGGCAAGGTAGTCAACATCTCCTAGCCACCGTGATGATGATGAGAGAGAGACACGCAGACTCGAAATATACAACAGCTGGCATCGTCAGTGTCGGGATCGAACCCACGACCTCCTGTACACCACGCGAGGTAGTTAACATCTCCTAACCACCGTGATAATGATGAGAGACACGCAAACTCCAAATATACAGCAGCAGCAGGCGTCATCAGGGTCAGGATCGAACCCACGACCTCCTGCATAGCGGGCGAGGTAGTTAACATCTCCTAGCCACCGTGATGATGATGAGAGACACAAACTCCAAATATACAGCAGCAGGCGTCGTCAGGGATTGGGATCAAACCCACGACCTCCTGCATAGCGGGCGAGGTAGTCAACATCTCCTAGCCACCGTGATGATGATGAGAGAGAGACACGCAGACTCGAAATATACAACAGCTGGCATCGTCACTCGGGATCGAACCCACGACCTCCTGTACACCACGCGAGGTAGTTAACATCTCCTAGCCACCGTGATAATGATGAGAGACACGCAAACTCCAAATATACAGCAGCAGCAGGCGTCATCAGGGTCAGGATCGAACCCACGACCTCCTGCATAGCGGGCGAGGTAGTTAACATCTCCTAGCCGCCGTGATGATGATGATGAGAGACGCAAACTCCAAATAAACAGCAGGCGTCGTCAGGGATTGGGATCGAACCCACGACCCCCTGTCCACCAGGCGAGGTAGTCAACATCTCCTAGCCACCGTGATGATGATGATGAGATAGAGAGACACGCAAGCTCCAAATATACAGCAGCAGGCGTCGTCAGGGTCGGGATCGAACCCACGACCTCCTGTACACCAGGCGAGGTAGTCAACATCTCCTAGCCACCGTGATGATGATGAGAGAGAGACACGCAAACTCCAAATATACAGCAGCAGGCGTCGTCAGGGTCGGGATCGAACCCACGACCTCCTGTACACCAGGCGAGGTAGTCAACATCTCCTAGCCACCGTGATGATGATGAGAGAGAGACACGCAAACTCCAAATATACAGCAGCAGGCGTCGTCAGGGTCGGGATCGAACCCACGACCTCCTGTACACCAGGCGAGGTAGTCAACATCTCCTAGCCACCGTGATGATGATGAGAGAGAGACACGCAAACTCCAAATATACAGCAGCAGGCGTCGTCAGGGTCGGGATCGAACCCACGACCTCCTGTACACCGGGCGAGGTAGTCAACATCTCGCCATTAGTCCGCCAGTAGCGGGGCAAACAGGGGGGGGTGATGTCGTTCCGCGGTCTTGCCTAGGGGCACCCCCAGTGGCAGCTGCCTCTGTGCAGCAACAACCTCTGATCAACAACCAGATCATGCACCAACAAACAACGTGTGGTGTGTTACCAGTGTATTAATCAAGAGATAAAATGTGTACTAACTTCTACTAAAAATCTCAACAATAACGAAGGATATTGCTGCAGAACTTTACCGGTGTGAACCAATAGAGCAAACATAATTTTGGTTAACTATGCAGAGTAAATACAACGGCAGCTCACAAAGGATACCATCAAAATACATTTTATTAATAATCATTAGGTAAAAAAGTACGCGACTGTAATTGTTGACTTTATTGAAAACCTGTATATCGACACACTTGCCAAAAAAATAACACCATAAAAAAATAACACCATCAAAAATATCAGCATAAAAAAATAACACCATAAAAAATAACACCATAAAGAATATAACACCATAAAAAATAACACCATAAAAAATAACATCATAAAAAAATAACACCATAAAAAAATAACACCATAAAAAAATAACACCATCAAAAATAACACCATAAAAAAAATAACACCATAAAAAAATAACACCATAAAAAATATAATACCATAAAAAAATAACACCATAAAAAAATATAATACCATAAAAAAATATAATACCATAAATAACACCATCACAAATATAACACCATAAAAAATATAACACCGCCGCTTGTCGAAGTCGAGACATCAAGCCACGTTTACTTTCTCGAACATGAGGTTAAATAAAATATCTGGAAACGTAATTTTGTTGAATAGCACCCACGGTTAAAAATAAACCACGACAAAAACACACTAAGAATAATGTGACTGTATTCATTATAAGTTGATTTTTTTACATCTTAATAAGTAAAAACATTTTTTTTACACCGACGGCTAATACCGAAAAAATAAACATTTACTTGCTCAATCGTGGGATAATGCGTCGCCGGAAATGAGAATTTACAATATAAATCATATAAAATAAATGTATAAAATTATATATCGAACAATGAACCCAAATCTCGCGAGAGGTGGGGGATGGGAGAGGGAGGGTTGGGGGTGGGGGGTTGGGCGCGCGCGCGCGCGGTGCACGCCGGGACCCCCCGCGACCGCCATTTTGAAAAGAACACCCGCCCCCCCCTCCCCCCTGCGCTGCGTCTCGCTACCAGCAAACAACAACAACAACAAACAAACAAACACCACCACCACAGGCTAAACAACAACAGCAGCAGCAGGCAGGCGCACGCACGCGCGCACACAACGGCGCCATCTCACGCGGAGAGCGAGAGAGAGACACGCGAATATCCCCTCAGACGAGGTGAGAACGCGCGCGCTGCTGTTGCTGTCGATAGGCCTCAGGCTTCGGGCCTAGTTCAGTGTGGGGACCCCAACACCCCTCTACAACGCTGCTGCTGCTGTCTAACCTCGCCGCTAAATTGTTTATTTCCGTCGCTAAGGAGCGTGTTGTTACAATAAAGCGGCTAAACGACGGCCTGGGACTTGGTTGCGTCGGTCGACGGGGGGCGAAAGCGACGGCGCCTTCGTGTGTCGCTCCACTCGGCTGGGTTTGTTTTGGTTGCGTGTGGGACCAGCACCACCGCCACCTCGGTTTAAATTCGCCGAGGTAAGATAACAATAAAGTGAACGCTTCGTCGAGTCGTGTTTCGATCGCACGCAGGCGTAGACCGCGTTCCGTTTTGTTTTCGAAGCGAAGATGTTTCTTCTTTTTTTCTCTTCGGAGAGTTGGCCAGGTTTTTGTGCGAGCATCGCGGAAACGCACGGGGCAGGCGCGAACCCGCGCCGCGACGTTAACGACGACGACGATTACTGCTGCTTCACATAACGATACTGCTGCTGCTGCTGCTGCTACTACTGGCAACCACGGCATTCATTGCGATACAGTATTGATTGTAATACAGCTCATGGGGTTAACAGCAGCGCTTGAAAGTTTTGATTTGTGAAGTTGCGGGCGGGGGGGATGGCACAATGATCGCTATGTCACCCACGTTGAGATGCTTACATTAACTTGTGTTCATAATACTGACTGTGATTGTAGTATTTACTACTGCTACACTAGTAGTAATGCGAGTATTAATACTGGGATAGCGATGCTCGTGAAGGTAACAGCAATACGGATTAGTTTTGGTTTGCGCGGGCAGGTTGACGCTGTGGCATACGGAACTGCATGGCCACCCCCTCACGTTGCAAGGTTAACAATGCTGGGCAGTATTTGGCACAACAGCAGTAACTACTGCAGGTGTAATAATGTCAAGTCGCACAATGACATTGCTAATGATAATAATATCAATTGTGCGGTAATAGCGTTCGTCCAATGGAGATGCACTGTTTGTGAACTAACCGGTTCTCGTAATTGGAATTGTGGAATTTCAATAGTAATCATTAATGTCGTTTATTTATCTAGGAATACAACGATGAAATTTAAAAAATGTCTTTGTAGGAAGACTTTGAATCTGAGTGCTTTGGTTCCATTCGTTTATAAATCGGCGTGTTTTTGTTTACGTGACAAACCTTACGAATTGGCTGTGTGGGGTGGTGGAGGGTTTTACGACACATTTATATTTACGCGATCAAATCCAACAAAAATCTTTTATGGATGATTTATAAATATCTACAAACCAAAAGTAATTTTTTTTTCATTCAGTTGGAAATTTTATTCCAGAAGTGTCCGAACAAAACTTACTTCATGCGTACGAGGGGATGGTAGTTGCGACTATCCATAAAGACCGCTATTTTCATCACCTTACACATCTGTGCCATCCACCAACCTTTTCCTCCGAAGTGAGACATGGCAGATGTGCGCTCAGCTCTCGTGTTCATCCACTGCTGGATGAATGACTCCGCCATACAGGTCGTGCGCAGGTTTTGTAACCGTTCTTCACCACACTGGTCAGTGCGGGTCGGTGAATTACCAAAATCGTAGAGTGGGAGCAATACAAGCGCAGTGCACGAATTATTTTGCTGCACTTGCTTTCGCTTCGCACAACTTGGGGCCCCGCAGCCTATCGCTCAAGTAATGGATGGTGGTTGCCCATTAAACACTGATCCAGACTCCAACCTGCTTGGCTTCTTGATCAGATTAGGTGCACTGGTTTGGTCGTAGACGTAATGGCAAAGTCAGAGGCATCTTGAATTGTCTCGGATTTACTTTTTAACAATTGTGGTAACCGTGTGTGGTTGTACGTGTTTTTTGTTTGTGTGTGTGCGCGCCCCGCTTAGATTTCAGAGTGAAGAGACGAAGAGGCTGATCTCTGTTTCCGGGAGGAGCGACAGAGAAACACGGCAGCAGTAGCAAATGACAGCACATGAGTGTGGCTCTTCAACCATGTGCATCCTGTGAATGCAGCAGCTGTGGCAGCAGTGGGGCGACCTCATACGTGCACGCATACACACAAACAACGGGGGTGACCTCGCGCACGCAGACAAACACACCGAACATAATCCCCCCCCCCGCCTCAGATGAGTTGTTGTTGATGGTCGGGTTCTTAGGCGAGTACCAGGGAGTCCCGTCACGTTGATCGAGAGAGCGCTACTTCGGAATTGGGAGCGCTTGCGTCTTTTGGTCTCGGCGTTGTTGAGGGTTTTCAGTTTCTGTTTAGTATCGCGACCACCCGGCGTCTGGCCGATGTTATTGTAATAATAATAGCAACAATGTCGATGGTCATGTCATAGGTTGCATCGGCAAGCAGGCATGTTTCAATGCTGAAGAATCATAGTAATATAAAGTACGATAGTGACGGCAACAATCGTAGTATTAATCGTTTGGCACCGTGTAGTAGTTTTCCACGCACGTTCCCTGTTAAGCGCTGGCCGTTTTCACAGACTCCGAATTGTGGACAAAATGACGACGGCCAATCCCCCCCCCCCACTATGCATGATTAATTAAATAAAAAAAACTACAAAAAATAATACTGCTGCTTCTGATAAGTGCAGGCAGCCGCACCCCCGCTTACTGAATCTGATCGCTTCCGGCGCGTGTACATATTATACATATTTTCTGTACATATATTTTTTTAGAATCTTAATTTTTTTTCTTATTTTCACCATTTTTAGTTGGGACCCCTCCCTCGACGCGCCGCGTTCCGCGGCAGAAGTTGAGAAATTGGTAAAATTTTGCGTCGCGTGCTCACATCGCTTAATTTAAGGAGATATCCAATCCAGGTCGCGGTGGAGGTTAGAGCGTGACGCCACGGCGAGTAGGAAGAGGAGCAAAATCGAGAGGCTGACCCGTCGCGTTTGTTTCCCGAGAGTCGCTTCCTCGGGAGACATGAGGTAGTTGTGGACCAGCGTTCGTGTCACGTTCTTAGCGGCTGAGGGGGGGGGTGGGTACGCAATAAGATTCAAGCTGAAGGAGTCCGGAGCCTCAGATCGCGCGGTTTGTTTTCATGAGGCTGCGACGTAAATAGACGATGGGAGCGAGCGCATCGAGGTGAATTCGCGAGGCGTATGTAATTCCCTTACTGTGCTAGTTGTTGTTGTGTTGTATTTTTTTTATTATTGCAAAACAAGTTAGGTAGTTATTACTGAAATTACTGTGGGGTTGGGTTTTCACTTTTCAATTTGCGCTGGGCTCAGGAATGACTTCGCGATGAGCGGGTAGCAGCATCACCGATCGTTACGAGAAGCTCTCGGCAGCTTGGATGCTTTTTATTTGTAATTTTGCTTGTTTTAGTCAGGCAAAGTGTTGAGCGGCACACGAATATTGTACATATTAGTAACAGGACACGCGTGCGTGTGCGCACACACACACCCGGAGTCGGGGGGGGGGGGGCAGGGGGGGGTGGAGCGGCAGGACTATAAAATCCAAACTAGAATCAGCAACTGAAGGTGGACGACACATCATCGCAGCTGCCGAGGAGAGTAGGCGCCCGACGGGGTGACCCTGTGGGGTCTCGGCGCAGCTCCGCCCCCCTTACGCCTGCAACCTCGACCGGCCGCTGACCGGGCCCGGGGCACTGAAACGCTGCGCAGGATCTACCGCCCTCCCCCCACCTTCCAAGGGAATCTTTGCTGGCCAGGGCGCCCCCCGCTGTCTACAGCCGGGGGGGGGACCTCCCCTCGCTGTGGCCCCCCTTGCGTTCCCTTGCCCCGGCCAGACCCCCTCCGTTGGCGGAGGAGCAGCGCGGGAGCTGGCAGGGCCTCCGTCTCACCGGCCTCGCCGACTCAGCCCGGACAGACCTACCCGCTGCCCGTGGTGAGTATTGGGTGCGGTGGCTTTACTCTGTGGTCCTCATCATCATCATCATCACGGTGGCTGGGAGATGGTGACCACCTCACATGGTATGCAGGAGGTCGTGGGTTCAATGCTGACCCTGACGATGCCTGCTGTATATGGGGAGTTTGTGTGCGTCTCTCACTCTCCCCGTGGTCACATGTATTTTTCTCCAGAACCTTTGGTTTTTCCCTCCACATTTCGAATTAACATCACGCGTTTAGAGTATTTGGCTTCTATACATTTCCACATAATGATAAGCCATTTCGTTAAGCTATCAATTATAACCAGGTCGCTTATAAAAAAAGAGTTAAATTGCTCGGTGGGCCTTACCTGGTAAGAATAGAATAAATAGTAACCGCTGGCTCCGTTAACTGTGGCTAGGTCGCTCTTGCAATGAGGCTGTCCTCTGGTCTCTTGAGTTCTCCTCTGCCGAGGCAAGCTCACGGGGTGTCTGGTGTCCGATCTCATCTTGCCCCGGTAGCAGCAGTCGTGTGTTTGTGGTGGCTACGGCACCAGCGGGTGTTGGTGGCGGTAGCGTTTGCTGCGGCGCTGGCGTTAAAAGGTGGTGGTAGTAATTAATCAATATTATGGATAATATTGCAATGCTGTGTTTGATGATGCGGTCAAAGCTCTTGTTTAACGAAAAGCACTATCTTCACGTGAGTTTGTCCTCGGCAGTTCCTGGTATGAGTTTTAACCGATGACTTTATTTTCATATCTACTTTCTAATGCCGTCATTTTTCTATCAAAATTAGAGACAACTTTTAGAAGGTTTTTCTAGCGAGATTTACCTGCCGCTTTTTTTTCTTTCGGCGTCTTCTCTTCCCGCTTTGAGGAGTTAGCAACACGGACACACAGCGCACGTTGCCAGCAGATGTTTAAAATATTCTAGAAAATGTTATTCTAACTAAAATGTATTGACACAGTTGGAGTGTTTGTGGTTTTCTGCTACTTCGTCTTCGGCGATATAAGTTTGCCAAAATTAAAAATGATCCGCAAATTACTCAATTTGGCCTTTCATTGCAATCATTGGTGCCGCGGTGGCTAGGAGATGTTACCTGCCTCGCTGGGTATGCAGAAGGGTCATGGGTTCGATCCTGACAACGCCTGCTGTATATTTGGAGTTTGCGTGTCTCTCTCTCCCCATGGTCGCGTGGATTTTTCTCTGGGTCCTCCGGTTTTTCCCTCTACGCGTTAACAGTATTTGGCTGCTGCTATAAATCTCCGCGCGGTGATGACAAGCCACTTCGTTGAGCTCTAATTTGTGACGGCCAGGTCGCTTCTGCAAAAGAGAAAATGAAGAAGTGTCCCAAGACCCACTGAGGCTTTCCTGGGTAAACAAGCGTAATAAATAAAATATCATCTTAACATTTTAACTCAAATACGTTATTTCTAGATTTGAAGCTTTCGTGACTGCAAGGATTCACACTCTTAGTTCTTTCGGTAAAGTCACGTAGGTAAAAAATGAAATTAAAATTAATAAAAAGAAAACAATAATATCACGACGTTTCGGAGGCAACACAAGTCACCTGATGACGGAGACTTGTGTTGCCTCCGAAACGTGGTGATTTTATTGGTTTATTTTTATTAATTTTAATTTCATTTTTTACCTACGTGACTTTACCGAAAGAACTAAGAGTATCAAATACGTTATAACAAAGGGGGAAAAAAAGCTAACCACCCTTGAATTTTTACCGTCGCGAGCTTTGACTTGTAATTGCTGAAGTGTGAAGTCTTAATATGGAAACGCTGCTGCTGCTGCTCGTGAGTTGATTGTGTGTGGGGGGAGCGTTAGCACAGCGGTTAGTGTGCTGCGCTACGAAGTTAGATTCCTGCTCACGGCCACCAACACCGGTGACGAATATCTGAACCGGTCCTGGGCCTCCCCTAGGTCGACTCGGCCTCAAATGAGTACCCGGTGCGGTGTGTAGTAAACATCGCCGTCTGGGGAGACAAAGGCGGTCGGCCGTGGTGCTGGCCACCCACCCCCCTCGTGTAACGTCGGCCGTCATAGATGCTACTCGCTATAACAGCACTTGTCCCAATCGTCTGTTAAGGCGAAATGGGGGGATCTTTGTCTCGAGTGTGCGTGTGCGCGCACCCCGTATCGATTTGTGTTCATCTTTGTTACCGCCACGCACCTTTTGTGTCCACGTGTGTGTGTGTTGGCACAGGTTGCTCCATTGTGCCTCTCGTCCCCCCCACTCTTCACCCGTGCTCTCGTGTTTCGTAGTGTTCCCTCTCGTGCGTCCCCGTGCCGTCACTTTGCGTCGGCGTGCGTCTCCGTTTGTGCCCCTAACGTTTCCTGATGTCGTCTGGGTGGGGTCGGCAACCCACGGTGGTGAGATGTTAACTCCCTCGCCGGGTACTCGGGAGGTCCTGCGTAGGATCCCGACGGCGCCTGCTGCTGCGTAGCAGCTGCTGGAAATTTCCACCTGATGATGATAAGCCCTCTCCGTTGAGCTGTCATTTGTGACCAGGTTGTTTCTGTTAAAGAGCTGTACAGCTCAGTAGGCCTTAGCTGTTAAAAAAAAAATTGTAGCAATGAGACATTTTTTTTCTTCGAATTCGGTGAAATAAAAACCTTTCAAGAGCCGCACGATGCAATGTGAATACGAGACGGCAGTCGTTCATAAACACCGTGACGAAGCTGGTCACTTAGAGAGCCGTGGGTCGCTGTCCCCTGCCTTATCCTGTTATGGGTATCTGTTCTTCCTGTGATCTATCCACTCCTCAATGAAAGCCGCCCCCACCACCCACCCACTTCTTGTCCCGCGGTGTCTCGCGATGCTGCAATCCGTGCCGCACCTGCACACGAGCTGACCTCTCGCCCCTCTCTCTAAGCGGTTGACCTCCTCTTCGTCCACTCGCTCCCTCCTTTGGCCACCACCCCCTCATCGTTGTTCTCAACTAGTCGTCACTTCCAGTGGCACCTACTTGCCCAAGTCCCCCCCCCACCCCCCCTTTTGCTTCGACCGGTCTATACGGTTTTCCCCCATTTCCTGATTTCTCAACGCAATTCCAATCGTTGCACCTCTCTCCGTGTTTACTGCCCTTGCGTTTTCTTTGTCGGTATATTGTTTCGTAATCGTGTCACAGCAGGTAATTTACGGCAGTAAATTTTTTTTCCCTTATGTAAGTGCATGGGTATCTCGCTTTTCATTATCCAATTCCGTTTTCCGAAAGCACTCGCAACTTCCCCTTGTCCACTTTGCTGCATAATTGCAGGTCACCTTGAGTAACTCCTCGGTATACAAACTCTGATGCGTGTCCCAGGGTTTGTCCCTTCCGAGCAGATATCTTCAACAGTTTAGCGCAGCTTTTTTTCTTAAATGAGCGTCCCGCAGGACAGTTGTAGCCCACGAAAGCTGACGGATTAGCCCTGCTGATCTATTCCCTGCTGAGACAAAGCGATCAAGTGCTTGCCACAAACGAACCACAAGACTTCGCTGATCTTGTCACGCGAACTTCGGTCATCCTCGCAGCAGCAAGCAGCAAGCAGCAGCAGCGGCAGCAGCAGCAAGCAGCAGCAGCAAGCAGCAGCAGCGGCAGCAGCAGCAAGAAGCAGCAGCAGCGGCACCTTTTGACTGACCATCGAACAAAGATGGTCACTGCATCGTGCGCTTTCAAATGCACTTCTGCGGCCGTCTGGAACGCTCTTCCGATATTAGGAAGCCACTGGAGCTGAGCACTTTTAAATCTAGACTGAAATCTCTTTTCTTTAGAACTGCTTTTTGTATTTAGTCGGTTGCCCTTTCACCACACCTCCGTGTAGCACGGTTGGCCACGTACGGTGTGAAAGAAGTTCAACGTACATGCAAGTCGGTTACGCGCTGTCACGTGACCCGCCAGAACACGCGCGTGCCGTTATATGATTCGCCGAAGGATATACTTCAAGCAACCCTAGAGTTTATCAAAACTTAGCTTAGCAGCCCGTCTTTCTTGTGTTACCTTGCTTTGATTCCCTTGTTCCTGAGTGTCTCATGTTCCCGTGCATTTGCACGCGTTCCCTCTGTGTCAGACTTGGGGGTTAGTTTTCGTTACAATTACAGCAGCGTTAAATTTCGATTTAAAGCTTTCGTGACTGCAGGGATTCATCTTCTTGGTTCTTTCGGTAAAGTCACGTAGAAGGGAAGTAATAAAATAATAAAAATAAAACATAATAAAATAAAATAATTCTCACGCAAATAATTCTCACTGCGTGAGAATTATTGTATTATGTTTTATTTTTATTATTTTATTACTTCCCTTCTACGTGACTTTACCGAAAGAACCAAGAAGATACAGCAGCGTTCTTCGCTAAAAGTAAAAAAATTACTCTGCTCTACCCCTGTCTTTCTCCCTTTTGTCGGGCTTGTTCGTGCCATTCGCGCGCCGTGCCTTGGCAGTACGGAAGGGGGATCATTGCATCCGTTTGTGCGGCGTTGTGAGTGGCCGGGTTATCTCGCCTCCCCTCCCTCCATCCCCCTTGAGAACTGCTTGTTGTGTTTAGGTTGTCGTCCTTCCCCCGCACCTCCGATTAGCATGGTTGGCTACATACGGTGCGAAAAAAGTTCAACGTCTAAGTGCTGTATTCCCCCCCCCCCCCCGATTGTGAAGCACTTGTTGTTAAAATCGAACTCCAAAAAGTTTTGGGGGCGTTTAACTTTTCCGGGGCAATCCGAGCGGCACGCGCCAACTCTCGATTGCAATTCGCCACGTTACGATCGACACGGTCTCGGCCCGCGATTCACCGCCGGTTCTCTGTGTGCGTGTCTCTGGTTCCCACGACCCGTGCCCCCTCCTCCTCCCCAGGGTCCCAGCCATGAGAGTTCATGCCTGGCTACAGTGAATGCACGACACCCGACCTAAATGGCGCAGCATGATTTTGCTCCAGCCTGGCTCAGCTTCCCTACTCCGCCCCCTTCCACCGCCAAGGTAAGCACAAGTCTCTTCGCCTAATTAGCGTGGCGGTAGTTGCCTTACTGAAGAACACCTTCAGTCCCCTTGACGGGGGTCCCTTTGAAGGTCCCCGCTAGGGGGACCTCCCTGCAAGGTGGACCGCCCCCTGTTTGTGCAGAAGCCGTTATTAGCGGGTCACCAGGGGTCCTGCTAGAATATTGAGGCCTCCCATATAGTGAAGACTTCACAAAGAGAAAGACAAAACAAAGATAAAGATTCTCCGTAGAGCCATAGAAGACAGTTGGGGCAAGTGCTGTTAGCGAGCAGGTACGGCACACGAGGGGGTGGGTGGTCAACAACAGTGGGTGGCGATGTTTACACACCACACCAGATACTCATTTGAGGCTGAGTCGACATAGGGGAGGCCCATGACCGGTTCGGATAAACGTCACGGTGTTGACCGTGAGCGGGAATCGAACGCGGATCGCCGGGTTCGTAGCGCAGCGTAGCGCTGACCGCTACACTACCGCTTGTTATTGTTGTTGCTATTATTGTTGTTGATGTTATTGTTGTTGCGGTCAACAGGTTCGTGGCGTTGCTCCCTGACGGCTACACTAGCGCTCCCCACTCGGAGACGCACACACTCGCGTTAATTTATATTATAGTCTGTCCTCTTATAACGGCGGTAGTAGTTGCATTCCTGATGAACGCTGCGTTGTGGAAAAATCGCGTTATTGTCAATGATATAGGGTAAAACACAGTATGAAAAAATATAGGTTTTCCCCTTTCTGACAATAAAGGTGTTACGGTGTTCAACCACCAAATAGAAACCTTTTGCTAGGAATCATGTCTGCATTAACCACGCGTACTTGTGGTGAACGTGCAAACAAACATGCTCTGATAACATCTGCATTGTCTTGGAAACTGATTGGCCTACACCAGAGACAACCTTCTTTAGGATACTGCCAAAAAGTCACCAGGGTACAGCACAGTCCGCAATAACACGTGAGATGCGTCACGCGGGCCGATTAGGTAGTGTCGAGAAGCATCCAGCAGCATCCCAATGCCTTGTGCGAGGATGCTACTCCGAGGCAGCCGCACAACCGCTCATTCCTACTCGTAGTTGTGTTCACTCAATCGCGCTGTATCCAATTATCGTTAATAAAACAACAAGCGTTGAAGGAGAACAGACTGTACATTATAAACAGTTAAGCTTCGATTTAAAGCTTTCGTGACTGCAGCGATTCATCTTCTTGGTTCTTTCGGTAAAGTCACGTAGAAGGGAAATAATAAAAATAAAACATAAAATACAATTCTCACGACGTTTCGGCTGTTTTTCCGACAGACCTGTTCACCTGAGGACGGCCGCTTGCGTTGTGGCCGAAACGTCGTGAGAATTGTATTTTATTATGTTTAAATTTTTATTATTTTATTATTTCCTTTCTACTTGACTTTACCGAAAGAACCAAGAAGATGAAACAGTTAACCCTTTCACATCTGGTCCCGTGTATGACTCCTGGTTGTGGCCGATCCAGATAATGTAGGTTTAATGTAGATCCTGTGACGCCTGCTGTCCGTTTGGAGTTTACGTTTTTCTCCCCGTGGTGGTCGCGTGGATTTTTCTACGGGTCCTTCGGTTTTTCCCTCCACGTTTAGAAATATGCTTTTGAAGGATTTGGCTGCCGCTATACATTTACAGGTGATAAACCACTCATTTGAGCTGTCCTTTCTGGCCAGGTCACTTTTGAAAAGCTATATTTGTCAGTGGGCCGTATCTGGTAAAATAAAAATAGTTTAGTTTTAGCGCGGTTGGCTACATACGGTGCGAAAGAAGTTCAACATACATATTTTAATTGGTGGTGGTGGTGATGTTGATAGTGGTGCTGGTGATGTTGGTGGCGGTGGTGTTGGTGGTGATGATGGTCGCAGTGATGGTGATGATGTTGGTGGCGGTGGTGTTGGTGGTGATGATGGTCGCAGTGATGATGATGTTGGTGGTGGTGGTGTTGGTGGTGATGATGGTCGCAGTGATGATGATGTTGGTGGCAGCGGTGTTGATGGTGGTGTTGGCGACGACGGTGGTGATGATGATGATGATGATAGTGTTGATGTTGGTGGAGGTGGCGATGTTGACGGTGGTGGTGATGCTGGTGGTGGCGGTTGTGCTGGTAGCTCCCCCCAACTCCAGAGCGCCCTGGGGACCACGTGTCGAGGCCCGACGGTCGTGCCGGCTCCAGCCGACGCCGACACAACTCGTCCGATGCCTTCCTGGACGCTGGCTTTGGGCGCAACCCTGGTGAGAGTACTTGACGACAATAACGCACAGATACCCAAGACAAAGATCCCCTTGATACCAAGGCCTTCATAGCACCTACCAAGGCCTTGGTGCTGATGTTTATGCACGGCACCAGGTTACTCGCTTATTGACGAGTCAAGCACACACATACACTTGCATACAATGATCATACCTTGATCTTTGTATCACCTTTGAACTCCTGCACCTTGAAAGCACTGAATTACAGGCATGCAACTAAAATAACTGCATCTGGCAATTACATGAATACACAATAATGCTGATTCATCTTCTTGGTTCTTTTGGTAAAGTCACGTAGAAGGGAAGTAATAACATAATTAAAATAAAACATAATAAAGTAATTCTCACGACGTTTCGTCATTCAGACGCTGTCGCCTCGACAGACGGCTGCTTGCGTTGTGGCCGAAACGTCGTGAGAATTATTTAATTATGTTTTATTTTAATTATTTTATTACTTCCCTTCTACGTGACTTTACCGAAAGAACCAAGAAGATGAATCCCTGCAGTCACGAAAGCTTTAAATCGAAAAATAATGCTGATGTTATTCATAACACTCTGTGTACTTCCATCCCTCCCTCTTTGTTCCCTCGCCCCCTCCCCACCGCGCACACAGATGTCCGCACGCGCCCCATCTCGCGTCAGAACTCCCTAGAAACGGAGCCGGTCCGCGGCACTGGTAACCACGGCAACCGCCGCCCGCCCGGGCGCCTCCACTCGGACGGTGGGGCGTCGCGCGGCTCCTACCACTGGGAAGGCGGCGGGGGCGGCGGCCAGCGCGGCGGGCCCTACCATGACGGGGACGGGCGGGGAGGCGGCGGAGGGAGCGGGGTCCACCGCGGGAGCTACCACGGCGACGGGGGTGGGGGCGGCCAGCGCGGCGGGCCGTACCACCCGGACTCGGACGGCCCCCGGCGCGGCTACCGCGATCGCGACCGGGACCGTGATCGGGATCGAGACCACCGGGACCGGGACCGGGACGGGGGTGGGCACCGTCCGCGGAATGGAGCATTCCACGGCGGAGGGCACAAGGGCCGACGGGGCGACATGGAGGACGGCGGGCCGGGCGGCCCGGAGGACGGGCCGCGGCGGGGAGGAGACGACAAGACGGACGAGAAGCAGTTTGAAGTGGAGGACTTTGTGAGTGAACTGTCAACTGTTGAAACTGTGGACTTTGTGTGCCGCGTTTGCCTGCGTGTGTGTTCGTGGTTGTTTGTGTGTGTGTGTTCGTGGTTGTTTGTGTGTGTTCGTGGTTGTGTGTGTGTGTGTTTGTGGTTGTGTGTGTGTGTGTTCGTGGTTGTTTGTGTGTGTGTGTGTGTTCGTGGTTGTGTGTGTGTGTTCGTGGTTGTGTGTGTGTGTGTTCGTGGTTGTGTGTGTGTGTGTGTGTTCGTGGTTGTTTGTGTGTGTTCGTGTTTGTGTGTGTGTTCGTGGTTGTTTGTGTGTGTGTGTGTGTTCGTGGTTGTGTGTGTGTGTTCGTGGTTGTGTGTGTGTGTTCGTGGTTGTGTGTGTGTGTGTTCGTGGTTGTGTGTGTGTGTGTTCGTGGTTGTGTGTGTGTGTTCGTGGTTGTGTGTGTGTGTTCGTGGTTGTGTGTGTGTGTGTTCGTGGTTGTGTGTGTGTGTGTGTGTTCGTGGTTGTGTGTGTGTGTTCGTGGTGGTGTGTGTGTGTGTGTTCGTGGTGGTGTGTGTGTGTGTGTTCGTGGTTGTTTGTGTGTGTGTGTTCGTGGTTGTTTGTGTGTGTGTGTTCGTGGTTGTTTGTGTGTGTGTGTTCGTGGTTGTTTGTGTGTGTGTATTCGTGGTTGTTTGTGTGTGTGTGTTTGTGGTTGTGTGTGTGTGTTCGTGATTGTGTGTGTGTGTTCGTGGTTGTTTGTGTGTGTGTGTTCGTGGTTGTGTGTGTGTTCGTGGTTGTTCATGGGCCTTCCCTAGGTTGACAGCCTCAATTGAGTGCCTGGTGCGTGGTGTGTAAAAACATTGCCACTGGGGAGACAAAGGCGGCCGGGCGTGGTGCTGGCCATCCCCACCCCCTCGTGTTTCCGTTCCAGCCTTCATAGGCGCTTCCTGCTAACGGCACTTGCCCCCACAGTCTGTTAAGGCTATACGTGGTCGGGGATCTTGGTCTTTTGTGTCCGTGGCTGCGTGTGTGGCGTGCACGCCATTGGCGCGCGTTTTGGGCTGTCCCGCGTTATTTGCGTTTTGTGCCGTTTGGTGCGGTTGTCAACGTGGGATGTTTTCCTTCTCCGTTTGTTGCAGCCATCGTTGAACCCAGATGCCGATCGAGACCCAGGGCAGGGCAAGCCTGCCAACGTGCCGGCCGGCGTTTGGGGTGAGCCCGCCGCAACCGTGCGGCGTTACACGCGGCACAACACCTGGTGTAGCGTGCCAACCATCTGTCTAGGCAGCTGCACGCCACGAGTCGATTTTATCGCTCCGTACTCTGCAGTGAACGTGCGCTTGTCACACTTCGACGTACACCACGAACCGCACACCGTAACCCCCAACCACCCCACCGCCAAACAACGCCACGCCACAAACCGCACCGCACACCACTGCACCGCATGGCACACATCACACGCGGCCAATCGCACTCTGCCGTATAAACCATACCGCATAACCAATACCAATACCCGCCACTAAGTGATGGTGACTTCACCACGGCGCCTGTGCCAGGCCAGGTGCACTTTGAGGCCGTCACGTGAAGTGTCGAAGGCTCGCTGCTGGCAAGAGGTCACAGGACAGACCTAGCAGGTGCCATGGGTTGACCGACCGAGATGACTGGCAGATGCACCGGCTGTACCCCCTACTGTGCCAACACTCTATTTTATCCGCCCTGCTCTCCGCTCATTGTTGTGAGCGTTGCTGCTCTGTCCTCCCATTGTTTTTGGAGTGCGATTGCTTCCAACTGACCAGGAGTGTGTCCTGCACGAGCCTCCTCCATAGAACCACACCGCACACTACACCACACTTGACCAGCACCACCGATCCGATCAAACGCCCTCCCCCACCGAGCGCACAGCGACTACAGGTACCAAACCGCTTCGTCGTCGTCCACCGCTCTTGACCCCTTCCCGTGGACCTCCTTAACCTCTGTACCCCCCCCTCGGCCCCCCCCCGCCCCCCCCCCCCCGTAGAGAACCCCCCGAACCCCCGCCCGCGCTCCACCAAGATGCTGGTCATCAAGAAGTCATGCCGCGAGGAGAGCTTCTCGGCCGCCTTCGCGTCCACGCTGGCGCCGCCGTGCGGGGGCGCCAGCGCCATCACCCCGCTGCAGCTCTGCTCTCCCTCGTCCTCCTCCTCGTCGTCCGCCTCCTCCTCCTCGTCGTCGTCGGCGGCGGCCTCTTCCGGCGCCATCGGTGGCCCCGCCGCACGGGTCCACCACCCGGCCTCCTCCGCGCACAACGGCGTGGCGGCCGCCCCCGTCTCTTCGGGAGCGGCCGCTCCTGTCGTGCCGGGGGTGCCGGGCGGCGGCGGCGGCGTCGTGGTGGGGCCGGGAGTCGGGGCGGTGGTGCCTCCGACGATCATCGGAGGAGGCGCTGTGGGGATGAGCGGCGGTGGCGTGGCCGGAGCGGGGCAAGGTGGCGGGCTCCAGCGGTGCGGGCAGCGGAGTGGCCGGGGTGGGGACCAGCAGCATTTACAAGATCCTGGTGCCCAAGCCGGCGGCGCTGCCAGCCAAGGTGGGGGCGGGGGGGGGGGGAGATTCCCGTGGCGAGAATTGGTTTCAATCAAAAATATATATCGGTGCGATTTGGCGTTTGTCTGTAGCGGTGGCTTTCGGCAAAGTGCAGCTGGCCACCGCTGGTGTGTGTATCTCACCCAGTTGAGACAGGTTGACTTTTTTTTATAGCACAGGTTTTCTGGGGGCTGTTCCTGTTGTGCATGGGGGTGAGTGTGCGTATGTGTTGTGTGCGCGTGCAGTTGGTCCTTTGTATTTTATTGTGTGTACTGCTGTGATGCACGTGCGATGTTGAAATGTGTGGGTTGGGACGGAGGTTGGTTGTGTAGTGGTTAGCACGCTGCGTTGCAAACCCGGCCACCCGAGCTCCATTCCCGCTCACGGCCAACACCAGTGACGATTATCTGAACCGGTCCTGGGCCTCCCCGAGGTTGATGTGATGCAGGTGTGCTGTTGGGGTGTATGTGTGTATGTGGGGAGTGGTCATGTGGCTTTTTTGATGAAGCCCAAGGGTACGGGTTCAGTCGCCAGGCTCCGCCAAATGGGGCTTGGCCAGGAGACGTCTTAGACGCCTTTCCTCCGTGGTACCTGGGTCTGTCCGGTGACCCCCTGCCAGCGACACTTCGACACTTCACGTCGCCTCGAAGTGCACCTTGCCTGGCACGAGCTCCGTGGTGATGTCACCGCCACTTGGCGGTTGCTGCTGTTACTGTTGTTGGAGCGGCGGTCGTGTAGTAGTTGGCGCATTCCGCTGTTAAACTCCCGACGATCTAAGTTCCATTCCCGGCCACCCCTGTCCTCTTTCCCCCTCTCCCCCGCGGCAGCCCTCGCTGTGGAAGAACCCCGGCAGCGCCAAGGACGCGCGATCGTCGGGCTCATTCACCCGCGACTCGGCCTTCCGCCTCTACTCGCCGTTCTCCCCCAAGCCGGCGCCGCCTCCACCGCTCCCCGTTGCTTCCGTGGTGTCGGCGCCCGCTCACAACCACAAGGAATCGACGGCGGCGGTGGCGGCGCCGGCCTCGGCGGTGGCGGCGGCGCCGGCGTCACCGGGATCGACGGTGATCCCGGCGGCGGCGGACGACGACGACGGCCGCCGTGGTGGCGGCGTCGTCCCTGAGGCCGGCGTCCACCTCCCCGGTGGAGGTGGCCGGTTCGTCGCTGGCGCCGCGCCTCACCAAGCTGGGCCGTGCTCGCAACAACGGCAAGAGCGAGTTCCTCAAGACGCTGAAGCGCGAGGCGAGCAACGGCGAGCCCGGCGGGCGTCCTCACGCCGCCAGCAGCACCAACGCCACCCACGCTCAGCAGGTGTGTGGTCCGGTGCCAACGGGGGCAAGGGCTCGTAGCCTGGCGTTCGGTTAAAAAATTAGAATACAGGAGGGGTCTGCATTTCAATATTCTTAGCGCTTATGCGGTGGGGAAGGGGGTTACCGACTGGGTTTATGCGAATGAGCCGCGTGCAAAAATGTGAAGGTGCAGCCCTGCAATTGCTTGCTCCGGCCACTGCTGGCGGGAAGGGCCTTCAGGAGAGGAGGGGGGGATGGCGGGAGCTCCTCAAGAGGGTGCTTGACCTATACTCATTCTCGCTGACCGGACGTCTGTCCAGAGGATAGAAAAATATACGATTCGCCAGGACGTCCGGTTTACGACGATCCTCATTTACGACGTTTATCTAATGCCGCCATGGATCAAGATCTCGCCTGGTATACAGGAGGTCGTGGGATCAAGCCCAACCCTGACGCTCGTATATTTAGAGTTAGGTGTCTCCCTGTCTCTCCCCGTGGTCACGTGGATTTTTCTCCAGGTCCCCTGCTTGTTCCCCTCCACATTTAGAATCGGCGTCATGTGTTTAGAGTGTTTGGCCGCTGTTATAAACGCCCACGTGATGAATAAGCCACTTCATTGAGCTATCATTTGTGATAGGTCGCTTCTGAAAGAGGGCGACATAGCCGAGTGGGGCCCTAGACGGTGAAATAAAAAATAGTCTAGACTCGAGGGTCTGCTCGCGCGCCCGCGGTTGGGAGGTCTGTTACAATCGCCGTCGTGCGTTGTGGCTTCAGGGCGAGAATCGACGCAGCAGCAGTGGCGGCAGCAGCAGCAGCAGCAACAACGGAGGTGGCGACGGCGGTGGCGGCGGCGGCAGCAACAACAACAACGGCACGCGTCTGGAGGAGATGGAGTCGCCCGTGTACTCGGGATCGCAGTTGGCATCCGATTGGCCAGAACACCGGGGTCAGAGGTCGCCGGAGGCGTCGTCATCGCCTGACGATCACATGTTGTCCAGCTCGCTGGAGGCCGAACACAGGTGGGTGGGTGCGAGGGAGTCGGAGGGGAGTGTGAGAGAGTTGGTCAATCTAGATGTAAGAGTGCATAGCTCCAGTGGCTTCGTCATCTCGCAAGGAAGAGCGTTTTTGATGATTGGGGGTCCCGCACCCCCCTCACCGTGCTGCAGGCTCCTGAGGGAGATGGGCTGGACAGAGCTGTGCGAGCAGGACGAGGCGTTCGAGCCCCTCACCGAGGACGAGATGAAGGAATTCCAGCGCATCAGCGAGAAGGTACGGGTGGAGACGACTGTTGCGGGGAGACGTGGGTAGCACATGGTGGGGGTGGTGGGGGGGTACGCACACGGAGAGATGACACGAGAAGACGTGGCGGGGGTAGACGTGGGTAGACGTGGGGATATACAGAGACGCTGGTGGATGTTGGGGGAGACGGACATGCGTAGACGTGGCGGAGATACGGACACATGGAGGGGAGAGACGGACACCGCGGGGAGACACGGGGGTTCACTTGGGAGATACGCGGGGGACACGGACACGGTGGGAGACCACCACTCCCGTCTCATCGCCCCCCCCGCCCCGCCCTCTCTCCGCCCCGTCCGGTACGACGCGCCGCAGCTGCAGAGCAACGGACTGCGCCGCAACGGGCTGCTGAAGCACGCGCCGGCCACCGTCGCCATCACATCCCCCGCGTTGTCGTCGTCGCCTTTCTCCGCTCCGGCGACGGTGACCAAGGTGGCGGCGCCCGGCCCGTCGTCCGCCCCCTCGCCCGGTTTCCGTTTCCCGAGCTGGGGCGCGGCGCTGCTGAGCGAGCCGGAGCTGCTGGCGGTCGCTCACGGCGACGGGCACCACCTCCTCGCCCGCGACGACGGCGGCGGCGGGGACGGCGACAGCACCTCCTCCGACACGTCCGACGACGACGACCTTTGACCCCGCGACCTCCCCCCCCCCCCCCACCTCTTCTCCCCCCATCCCCCCCCTTTCCCCTCACCCCCTGCAGCCGCGAAGGCCCCGGCGATGCAGCCCCCCAATTATTATCTTGCCCCCCTCCCCCCCCCCACCACGTTTGTCTCATCCTCTTCCAACTCTTTTCTCAGAATTTTTTTTTTATTCTCTTCGTTGCCCCCCCCCCCCTGCCCCCCCCCCCCCCTGGGCGGCAGGAACGCGAGCAAAGGTGTTGAAAGCGTCTGTCGTCGAGGAGAAAAATGGAAAGCGCAAAGGATAAAAAAAAATGAGATAGACCGAGATCGCAGGAGGAGGAGAAGAAGGAACAATCTATCAACAAAACTAACTTTGAAAACTGAAACGAAGTGGAATAATAGTAAAGAGGAATTTTGTTCGGATAAAGAATATCACGAGACAAAAGCCAAGAGAATTGGAAGAATGAAACGACCAACAAACATAGAGCTACTAAAACCGCGAAGGACGCGACGCCGCCCACCAAATCTGCCCCACGGGCGCCTCGTTAGCGCCGTCCTGGAACATCGCGGAGACGCGGAACAAAAACGACGACGGAAACGACGACACACAACAAAAAAAACACGACGGAAAATATTTCCCACGAATGCTAACCCCCAATTGTGAACCAGACGTCCTTCACAGCACAGGCCCAGAGAACTTGACTGTAACTGTGGTGGTGGTGGTGAAGGAAGGATTTGGGGGGGGGGTGGGATCTGGGTGGGGGGCACGGACCTTTGGGGGGGGGGGGGGGGGCACGGTCCGTGGGGCAAACGTCACGTCGATGTTATCGTGGGCGAGGGTCACTCGGTCGCGATCATCCGGTCGCGACGCTCCGTCCACCCATCCACTCACTCACCCACCACCATCCCCCCCCTCCCACTCACCACCATCCCCCCCCTCCCTCCTCCCACCCATCCGCCCTCATCCCCGCCTCCACCCACCACCGAGTTTCAAATCCCCAGCATCGCTGTGAATGCAAGAAAGTTTTCACCGTTGCAGATTTTAAACGAATAAAACGTGAGGAATCAAAATGAAAAAAAAATGTTGACGCTTCTACGGGGGGGGGGGGGGGGGGGGTTTAGTGTTTTCGTGTGTAAAAAAAAAAATCTGTCAGCGGTCACCGGTGATTCCCCCGGCGCAAAGCCCCACGTCCCTCCCCCCACTCCTCCCTCCCTTGCCCTTCCCCGCCCATCTCTTCGTGCTCCCCTCGCCCCTGGCTGCGATTGGAAGTGTAATTAATAAAACAAAGTCACCAGCCCTGCCTTGGTCAAATCGATGCTCTTTGTGTGGCGTGTTGCATCTCCGCACCCCCTCCACCCCCCCCCACCACCACCACCGTGGCGCGGTGTAATTTTGCTCCGGTGTCTCTCTGCGCGCGTGCGCGTGTGTTCGTCCGCACTGCGCCGTCTCTGCACCGTCTCTGCGCTCGCAAAAGTCTCGGGATGATCAAACTGAAAACGCGAAAAAAAATCGATTTCTGCAACTCAACTCGCCCCCCCCCTCCTCCGCGCGCGCCGGCCACCGTTTTGTTTGCGCACGGGAATTGACGAGTTTCTGTCCGCAACTTCTTCTCTCACCCACTCGCCCCCCTCTCCGCATGCTCTCCCCCCCGATCGGTTTGGATGTGAACTTTAGCGTCGGAGGCGGGAGAGCGGGGGGGGGGGGGGGGGGGGGCGAGGTATTCTTGATTGTTTTTGTCGTCTCTCTCTTCACACGGCGACAAAGCTGGGAGATCCAGCGAGAGACGACGTCGGAGGAGGAGGAGAGGAGGGAGGTGGGAGACTGAAGAGGGGAGAACATTTAAAAAAACGACGCAAGAAAGAAACGGAACGCAACAAATAGAACTCGCCGCGTGGCGCGCAACTTGCCCGGTTGCGATCCCCAGCACGCTCCCGTTCTCTTGAAGCGTATTTAAACAAAAATAACCATCATCATCAACGACGACGACAAGAAACAAACCCGTTTTACCTTGAAAAGAATCTCGCGTGTGGAGACGAACATTTGGGACCGAAACTACGAAGTGCTGCGTGCTCGTCGTGCCGGAGAGAGAGATCGAGCGGGGTGGTGGGGGGGGGTCCGGCTTGAAAAGTCCAGGAGAGGAAGCGTTGTCGATGTGCCCCCCCTGCCCACGACTACCGGTCTCTCTCCATCCTCCTGTACTCCACCTCGCCCGTCTCTCCTCCATCGCTCCTGCCGGTCAAGCCGCTCGTCTCTTGCCAGGCCGGACGCTTCTCGTGAAGAAATCTACCCCCTACAACACCCCCCCCCCCCCCCCCCAGCTGGCTGCGATTGTCCGTGTAGGATGGTGGTCGTGGGGAAATCGCGACCGACGGAGAGGGAGAGAAATGAAGAATAATTAATACGTAAGATGTTTTTTTTTTTGGGAGGTGGGGGGGGGGAAGGTGAAGCAAGAGAGAGAGAGAGAGAAAAAAAATGAATTTAATTTGAAAAACGAAAAAGTTATTTTGATAAAAGCTTTATTTACCACGGAGGATTGCTCGGGTGATGTGAAGTTTTTTTGTGTCGCCACCCCTGCTCATGGATGTTGAAATAAATCCCGGATTTGCAGCTCGTGCCTCACCCGCCTCCTTCATTCCGCTCGCTCGCGTTTCATTCACCCCTCCGTCGCTTGACCTTCGTTTCATTCACCCTCGTCGCTTGACCCTTCGTTTCATTCACCCCATCGTCGCTTGACCCTTCGTTTCATTCACCCCTTCGTCGCTTGACCCTTCGTTTCATTCACTCCTTCGTCGCTTGACCCTACGTTTCATTCACCCATTCGTCGCTTGACCCTTCGCTTCATTCACCCCTTCGTCGCTTGCCCCTTCGTTTCATTCACTCCTTCGTCGCTTGACTCTTCGTTTCATTCACCCATCCCTCGCTTGACCCTTCTCTTCATTCACTCCTTCGTCGCTTGATCCTTCGTTTCATTCACTCCTTTGTCGCTTGACCTTCGTTTCATTCACCCATCCGTCACTTGACCCTTCGCTTCATTCACTCCTTCGTCGCTTGACCTTTTGTTTCATTCACCCCTCCGTCGCTTGACCTTTCGTTTCATTCACCCCTTCGTCGCTTGAGCCCTTCGTTTCATTCACCCCTTCGTCGCTTGACCCTTCACTTCATTCACCCCTTCGTCGCTTGACCCTTCGTTTCATTCACCCATCCGTCGCTTGACCCTTCGCTTCATTCACCCCTTCGTCGCTTGACCCTTCGTTTCATTCACCCATTCGTTGCTTGACCCTTCGTTTCATTCACACCCCTTCGTTGCTTGACCCTTCGTTTCATTCACCCATTCGTCGCTTGACCCTTCGCTTCATTCACCCATTCGTCGCTTGATCCTTCGCTTCATTCACCCATTCGTCGCTTGACCCTTCGTTTCATTCACCCCTTCGTCGCTTGACCCTTCGTTTCATTCACCCATTCGTCGCTTGACCCTTCGTTTCATTCACCCCTTCGTCGCTTGACCCTTCGTTTCATTCACCCCATCGTCGCTTGACCCTTCGTTTCATTCACCCATTCGTCGCTTGACCCTTCGTTTCATTCACCCCATCGTCGCTTGATCCTTCGTTTCATTCATCCCTTCATCGCTTGACCTTCGCTTCATTCACCCCTTCGTCGCTTGACCCTTCGTTTCATTCACCCCTTCGTTGCTTGACCCTTCGTTTCATTCACCCCTCCGTCGCTTGATCCTTCGTTTCATTCACCCATTCGTCGCTTGACCCTTCGTTTCATTCACCCCATCGTCGCTTGACCCTTCGTTTCATTCACCCCATCGTCGCTTGACCCTTCGTTTCATTCACCCCTCCGTCGCTTGATCCTTCGTTTCATTCACCCATTCGTCGCTTGACCCTTCGTTTCATTCACCCCATCGTCGCTTGACCCTTCGTTTCATTCACCCCATCGTCGCTTGACCCTTCGTTTCATTCACCCCATCGTCGCTTGACCCTTCGTTTCATTCACCCCTCCGTCGCTTGACCCTTCGTTTCATTCGCCCCTTCGTCGCTTGACCCTTCGTTTCATTCACCCCTCCGTCGCTTGACCCTTCGTCGCTTGACCCTTCGTTTCATTCACCTCTTCGTCGCTTGACCCTTCGGTGAATGTGGCAAAGACAAAGCCGCCCCCGTGTGGCCCCTACGTGCGTGTGTTTGTTGAACTTCTTTCGTGTACCCTACGTCGCCAACCGTGCTAAATCGGAGGTGCAAGCGCTGCGAGCGAGTAGCAGCGCCGACGAAGGCCGGCACGGTTATACGAGGGGGTTGGGTGGCCAGCCCCCGCACCCCCTCGGCCGCCTTTGTCTCCCCAGTAGCTCGGATGTTGAGGCCGAGTCGACCCAGGGGAGGAGGCCCCAGGCGCCAGTCCGGATAATGCTCCCCGGTCACCGGCGATGGCCGCGAGCTGTCACCGTAGCCGGGTCGCCGGAAGCGCACGCGCTCGCGACACCGCTCCCTCGCCAGCAGTACGGCACCAGCCTCCCTGAGCCACAGCTGCCCTTAAGTGATATGTGCGTGGTCCTGGGGAGGTTCGAGGTGGTGTGAGCGAGAGGGGTGTGCGCGCAGCGCTCCGCTGAGTGCGTTGCGCCACCGTTCCACGCCGCCAAATCTTATTTTTGCGCCTTCGGAGGGCGCCTTAACTCAAGGCGCTCAAACTAACGAAACGAAATTTTCAGAGCGCTGACCGGAAGAAAAAAAAATCGAGATCCGAGTGATTTAGACGGCAAGGGCCGAGGAATGAGTGGCATTAACAAGAGGGCACGTGGGGGGGAGGGGGGTCACGGAAGGGTCATAGGGGAGGGACGGAACGGCGTGGAGAAATCCGTGGAGCTGTAAAGCTCTGTTTTTGATCATACTCTTCGGTTCTTTCGGTAAAGTCACGTAGGTATAAAATAAAATAAATCACGACGCTTCGATCGCAACACAAGCGGTCGTCCTCAGTCGGAAAAAATATCCAGCAGTGGAACTGCTGAACCAGCGAGAGAGCAGTTACAACAAGGATGTGATTTATGTGGCGAGTGGCAAGCAAGCGGGGTCTGAGCTGGAAAGGAATTCCTTCCACGGACGCAAGCACGTCAGTTGTGTTGATGGGGGAGATTAGGGAGATAGGGATTCGGGAGAGAGATTAGCATGAATGAGATTCCGTCTCAGCATAAGAGTGTCATGCCCGCATATGCGCACATCAGCAGTGTTCATGAGAGTGCAATCCACATATCACAGATGTCCAGAAAAGGGGGCCTCGCTGTCGGGACGTCACGACAACAAGCAGTGCCAACAGAGATTAATTATAGGAAAAGTGAACAAATCACACAAATAAAACACATAATGAAATAATTATTCTATTATGTTTTTTTTATTTCCATTCTACGTGACTTTACCGAAAGAACCAAGAAGATGAATCCCTGCAGTCACGAAAGCTTTAAATCGAAATCACACAAAACTAAACTATTTTAAAATGTCATCAGGTAAAGCCCCACTGAGCTATGAGCTTTTATTTTTTTTAGAAGCGACATGTCCACAAATAGTAACACAGACGGTCATGGTCAAGAATTACACGCTAATGCAAAGCAACTTGAAACCACGGACATAATTTTCTGTTGTGCGATGAGTGGTGGTGCCAGTGGTTAGCGCACTTCGTGATTGAAACCCAGTGACCCTGGGTCACCCTTGCAGATGGACCTCGTCTTCTACTGCCGGTAAGCGTGGTCCATTTACGGCACCACAGTTGTAATATCTGGCTATGCTCCTCTGACCTAACGACTCCTTCTCTAAAACTCACGATTTCCGGAGGTCCTTCCTTCATGGCGGCTTGAACGAGGACTTTAAAGTTTGTTTTACTTCTTACACTTATTGTTTAAAAGCAGGTTGGGTGAGTTTGCAACACGAAGGGATTTTCGTGTGGGGATGGGTTTGGCAGAATGTGTGTATATAAGAGGGGTTGTTTTGTTTATTTTGGTAAAGATGTTTTGCAAAAAATATTTTGTTTATTTTTGGTAGATTTAAATTTTGGTAAAGATGTGTTTCTAGAAGAGGGTTTATGTTGGTAAAGCGCGGGTCAAAGTTAGGAAGTTTAACACGTGGTATGAGGCTTTGGCGACCAATATCCATAATGAAGGTTTTGTTTAGATCGCGTGAATTTGAACGTGTTAAATGTATCCCTCTACTAGTTTTACGACCCAGCTTCGCCCGGGACTTGGATTCACCACGCCCGGCCGCCTTTGTCTCCCCAGTGGCGATGTTCACACACCACACCAGTTACTCGTTTGAGGCTGAGTCGACCTAGGGGGAGGCCCAGGACCGGTTCAAATAATCGTCACCGGTGGTGGCCGTGAGCGGGAATCGAACTCGGGTCGGCGGGTTCGTAGCGCAGCGTAGCGCTAACCACGACACTCGGCCTCCATCCTGGTGGTGAGTTTAAAGTCGCGCTGGGCCACGGGCGGCCAAACACCCAACACCTGGTCGCCATAGCAACCTCAAAAGCAAAGATCCCCCGTGTAGCCTCTAACAGACTGTCGGGGCAAGTGCTGTGAGCAGGTAGCAGCATCAGTACCTATGAATGAGACAAAGACAAAGATCCCCCGTGTAGCCTCTAACAGACTGTCGGGGCAAGTGCTGTGAGCGGGTAGCAGCAGCAGCGCCTATGAATGAGACAAAGACAAAGATCCCCCGTGTAGCCTCTAACAGACTGTAGGGGCAAGTGCTGTGAGCAGGTAGCAGCAGCAGTACCTATGAATGAGACAAAAACAAAGATCCCCGTATAGCCTTAACAGACTGTCGGGGCAAGTGGTGTTAGCGAGCACCTATGAAGGCCGGCACGGCACACGAGGGGGTGGGTGGCCAGCACCACGCCCGGCCGCCTTTGTCTCCCCAGTGGTGACGTTTTTACACACACCGCACCGGTGTACTCATTTGAGGCCGAGTCGACCTAGGGGAGGCCCAGGACTGGTTCAGATAATCGCCACGGGTGTTGGTGGCCTTGTCTCCCCAGTGGTGACGTTTTTACACACACCGCACCGGGGTACTCATTTGATGCCGAGTCGACCTAGGGGAGGCCCAGGACCGGTTCAGATAATCGCCACGGGTGTTGGTGGCCTCTGAGCGGGGAATCGAACTCGGCTCGCCGGGTTCGTAGCGCAGCGCAGCGCTACTAACGCCGCTGCCACATCGCTGGTCACCATAGGAACCTCATACACACAACAACGCTCACTCTCGCACACACACACAACACTCTCGCACACACACACACACAACACTCACACACACAACACGCGCTCATACTTCAACTGTTCATGATCGCTTCGACCTCCTCCGCGACTTGATACCGAGAGCAGCGACAAGAAGGTTCGTGTCACGGAGGCTGTTTCGTGAGGAGCTCTTTAAAACCTCGGCCACGAGCAGCCATGCGCAAGCCCCTCTCCTCTCCTCCCTCTCCTCTCTTCCCTGCCTCTCCTTTTCTTCTTTCTGTTTTTATGATCAGAGGAAACAAGAAGATGCTCGGTGTAGTCGGCACTTTGCTTCGTTCATCATTTCGTTTTTTTCAATGCTTTGCTTTATGTGACCCCCCCCCCTCCATTTTTAAATGAAAGATTTCACGAAAAATGTCACGCTCTGCTCTCCTCCTTCTTACCCCTTACCTCTCTCTGTACCCCCTCTCTCTCTACCCCCCTCTACCCCCTCTTTCTCTACCCCCTCTCTCTCTACCCTCTCTCTCTCTACCCTCTCTCTCTACCCCCCCTCTCTCTACCCCCTCTGTCTACCCCCCCCCCTCTCTCTACCCCCTCTGTCTACCCCCCTCTCTCTCTACCCCCTCTGTCTACCCCCCCCTCTCTACCCCCTCTGTCTACCCCCCCTCTCTCTACCCCCTCTCTCTACCCCCTCTCTCTACCCCCCCCCCTCTCTACCCCCCTCTCTCTCAATCCCCTCTGTCTACCCCCCCTCTCTCTCTACCCCCTCTGTCTACCCCCCCTCTCTACCCCCTCTGTGTACCCCTCCCCCTCTCTCTACCCCCTCTGTCTACCCCCCCCCCTCTCTCTACCCCCTCTCTCTCTCTCTACTCAATGTCTATGTTCCCCCTGTTTTCCATGTAATATTTGTAATTTTTATTTTCATTTTTTTTACTACGACAAGCGCTGCATCTGCACCCAGCCCTTCTCGCAGACCTACCCTCCTCTGCTCACCCTCCTCTGCTCACCCTCATCCCTCTCCTCTTTCTCCCTACCTGAACGGGACTGCCACTCGAGGTTGATGGTCTGTCCGCAGCGGCGTACACAGACAACCGTGCTATGCGTTGAACTTATTTCGCACCGTACGTTTCCAACCGTGCTATGTGTGTGTGTTGAACTTCCTTCGCACCGTACGTTGCCAACCGTGTTATGTGTGTGTGTTGAACTTCCTTCGCACCGTACGTTGCCAACCGTGCTATGAGTGTGTGTTGAACTTATTTTGCACCGTCGGAGGTGCGGGGAAAGGAAAACAAACTAAACTTAACACGCAGTTCTGAAAAATGAGTTTGTCAATGTAGATGATGATGATGATTTAAAAGTGCATCACAGCTCCAAGTGGCTTCCTAATATCAGAAGGAAGAGAGCGTTCCAGACGGCCGCAGAAGCGAATCTGGAAGCGCTTGACGCAGTGAGTCTGTGGGTCTCTGTGTGAGTCTTTGGGTCTCTGTGTGAGTCTATGGGTCTCTGTATGAGTCTATGGTTCTCTGTGTGATGAGTCTATGGGTCTCTGTGTCTATGGGTCTATGTGTGATGAGTCTATGGGTCTCTGTGTGGTACATGGGTCTCTGTGTGATGAGTCCATGGGTCTCTGTGTGAGTCCATGGGTCTCTGTGTGGGTCTATGGGTCTATGTGTGAGTCTATGGGTCTCTGCGTGATGAGTCCATGTGTCTCTGTGTGAGTCTATGGGTCTCTGTGTGGGTCTATGGGTCTCTGTGTGAGTCCATGGGTCTCTGTGTGATGAGTCTATGGGTCTCTGTGTAATGAGTCTACGGGTCTCTGTATGAGTCTATAGTTCTCTGTCTGATGAGTCTGTGGGTCTCTGTGTGACGAGTCTATGGGTCTCTGTGTGAGTCTACGGGTCTCTATGTATGCATGTTGAACTTCTTTCACACCGTGCTAATCGGCGGTACGGGGAACGTAAAACAAACTAAACACAACAACAACAACAAGCGGTTCTAGAGAAATGAGTTTGCCAATCTAGACGATGATGATTTAGAAGTGCATCACAACTCCCACTGGCTTCCTCGTATTAGTAGGAAGAGAGCGTTCCAGACGGCCGCAGAAGCAGCAGCAGCATCTGAAAGCGCCGCGCAATGTTGAAGATGATGACGACGATGATGATGGTGACGATGATGATGATGACGATGAGGACGACAATGATGATGATGACGATGATGACGATGACGACGATGATGGTGACAATGATGACGACGACGATGACAATGACAATGATGACGACGACGATGACAATGTCGATGATGATGACGACGATGACGACAGACGACGACGAGCGGAGTTTGTCGTGACGACGCGTCACGCTCCCCTGGCGAGAGAGTCGGCGGCGGGTGGCGCTCGACTTCACCGGGCACCGCGGAGTCGATTGTCGAAGTGTCGGGACGGGTTGTGCGAGCGGCGAGTGCCCGCTCACCAACAGCCGCAGGGTGCGTCGGTGGCCCGCTGCCCCCAGGGCCTCCCCCTCTGTTCAGCGAGCAACGATGGACACGCCGAGTTACTTAGAGACGTCTCTCTCCCCCCCACTCCCCCCCACCAGTACCGGACGAAGCGAGTGCGGGGACTGTAGCAGATGTTATAAAGGGGCCCTGATAATAAAAAAAAACACTTAAATATTTAAACACACGAATGTTTAACTTGCACAGTAACGTCACGTAGAAGGGAAGTAATAAAATAATAAAAATAAAACATAATAAAATAATTCTCACGACGTTTCGGCCACAACGCAAGCAGCCGTCCTCAGGTGAACGGCTGCTTGCGTTGTGGCCGAAACGTCGTGAGAAATATTTTATTGTGTTTTATTTTTATTATTTTATTATTTCCCTTCTACGTGACTTTACCGAAAGAACCAAGAAGATGAATCCCTACAGTCACGAAAGCTTTAAATCGAAATTGCACAATAAAATCTTGATTTGAAGCTATCGTGACTGCGGGAATCCATACTCGTTGGTTCTTTCGGTGAAGTCACGTGGGTAGCAAATCGATCAAACAAATCACGACGTTTCGAACGCAACACAAGCGCCTGTCTTCAGGTGAAAATCACAAGGCAGCAGACGACGCAGCTGTCACGATGTTTACCTGAAGACGGGCGCTTGTGTTGCGCTCGAAACGTCGTGTTTTATTTTATTTTATTTCTACCCACGTGACTTTACCGAAAGAACCAAAGAGTATAGAGTTTGCACAGTAAAGTAATTGTATTTTTTTTATTTGCTACACAGCCAGTTGTTAATACGACAAATCGTTAACCTTAAACACCCCGGTCGTTCGTAAAAGTCGAAGGCGGTATAGTACTATAGTAATAGAGCAAGTGCAGAATCACCGGACCGGAATTGATCGCTTGAAAGCATTTAGCGCGGGGGTCCCTTGAAAGTGCGGAGCCCGCAGCATATGTAGCTACTTGTGCTACTGGGGTAATCCGACACTGCCCCCCCCCCCCCAGTTCTGTTGTTGGTGGTGGTTGTTGTTGTTGTTTTGTGGTCGGCTGAATAGCGGTTGTGGTGGTTGCGGGGAGCGCTACGAACCGGGGCGATCACCCGAGTTCAATTCCCGTCTCGCGGAGAGACAAAGGCGGCCCGGGCGTGCGTGGTGCTGGCCAACCCACTCCCTCGTGTGCCACAGTGCCGGACTTCATAGGTTCTTGCTAACAGCACTTGCCCCAACAGTCTGTTAGAGGCTACACGGGGGGTCTTTGTCTTTGTTTCCTTAATAGGCGCTGCTGCTACTCGCTAACAGCACTTGCCCTGACAGTCTGTGAGAGGCTACACGGGGGACCTTTGTCTTTGTCTCCTTCATAGGCGCTGCTGCTAATCACTAACAGCACTTGCCCTGACAGTCTGTGAGAGGCTACACGGGGGATCTTTGTCTTTGTCTCCTTCATAGGTGCTGCTGCTGCTACTCGCTAACAGCACTTGCCCCGACAGTCTGTGAGAGGCTACACGGGGGATCTTTGTCTTTGTCTCCTTCATAGGCGCTGCTGCTAATCACTAACAGCACTTGCCCCGACAGTCTGTTAGAGGCTACACGGGGGATCTTTGTGGCCGTTCATGCCATCTGCCAGCAGGTGGCAGTACACATCAACGGATTTTTTTGTGTTTAATTTTATCAAAATAAATTTCATCAACACCGTCCTTACGTGATCCACTAACCCAGAAATACTTTCGCCTCCAAGAAGGGGAGGTAGGGGACGCTGAGGTCGGGGTTGAGATGTTGACTACCTCGCCTGGTACGCAGGAGGTAGTGGCTTCAATTCCGACCCTGACGATGCCTGCTGCTGTATATGTGGAGTCTGCGTGTCTTTCATCATCATCATCACGGTGGCTAGGAGATGTTAACTTCCTCGCCTGGTATACAGGAGGTCGTGGCTTCAATCCCGACCCTGACGATGCCTGCTGCTGTATATGTGGAGTCTGCGTGTCTCTCATCATCATCACGGTGGCTAGGACATGTTGACTACCTCGCCTGGTCTACAGGAGGTCGTGGGTTCGATCCCGACCCTGACGCCTGCTGCTGTATATTTGAAGTTTGTGTTGTTTCTCTCTCTCTCTCCCCGTGGTCGCGTAGATTTTTCTCAAGGCCCTGCGCTTTTTTTCCCCTCCACACTTTAGAATCGAGGTCACCACACGTTCAGAGAGTTATTTGGCTGCTGCTATAAATGTCCACGTGGTGATGATGATGATGATGAGCCACATCGTTGAGCTATCATCTGTGAGAGCCAGGCCGCTAATGAAAAATAGCTCCTCTCTAGCCCAGTGGTGGGGCCTTAACCTGGTAAAATAAAATACGAAATAATAGTTAAGCGCGCTTGGCTACGTACGGTGCGAAAGAAGTTCAACATACACACAGCACAAACACACACACACAGACTGCGGGCGCCTCGGTGATCTCCCAACAGGAGACGGAGCGACAGCAGGCGGAGCCGGTGATCTGGGTTGTCCATCATGAACCGGAGACACGAGGGGAACGATCCGGTCCTCCGTACGCTGGCTCGCGAGGTGAGCGCAAGAGGTCACGGTGTGTGGTGGTGGTGAGGATGACCTCTGACCTCTGTGTGTCACGGATTGTGGTGGTGGTGAGGATGACCTCTGACCTCTGTGTGTCACGGTTTGTGGTGGTGAGGATGACCTCTGACCTCTGTGTGTCACGGAAGCCGCTGACCAGTGATCGCTGAGTGCCCCTACGTTCGAATCCCGGTGTCAGCCGTCATACCACAGCGATTAACACCCACAGAGACCCATAGACTCACATAGAGACCCATAGACTCACAGAGACCCATAGACTCAGACAGAGACCCATAGACTCACATAGACTCACACAGAGACCCATAGACTCACATAGATACCCATAGACTCACATAGACTCACAGAGACCCATAGACTCAGACAGAGACCCATAGACTCACACAGAGACCCATATACTCACATAGAGACCCATAGACTCACAGAGACCCATAGACTCAGAGACCCATAGACTCACATAGACTCACACAGAGATCCATAGACTCACATAGAGACCCATAGGCTCACATAGACTCACACAGAGACCCATAGACTCATATAGAGACCCATAGACTCACATAGACTCCCATAGAGACCCATAGACTCACATAGACGCACAGGGACTCACAGAGACCCATATACTCACATAGAGACCCATATACTCACAGAGACCCATAGACTCACATAGACTCACACAGAGACCCGTAGACTCACATAGACTCACACAGAGACCCATAGACTCACATAGACTCACATAGACTCACAGAGACTCACATAGACTCATAGATTCACACTAAGACCCATAGACTCGCATAGACTCACAGAGACTCACATAGACTCACATAGACTCACACAGAGCCATAGACTCACATAGACTCACATAGAAACCCAATAGACTTACCTAGACTCACAGAGACTCACACAGAGACTCACAGAGACTCACAGAGACGCATAGACTCACACAAAGACCCATAGACTCGCATAGAGACCCATAGACTCACACAGAGACGCATAGACTCGCAGAGACCCATAGACCTGTGTAGAGACCCATAGACTCACACAGAGACCCATGGACTCACACAGAGACCCATAGACTAGCATAGAGACCCAGAGACTCGCATAGAGACAGACTCACACAGAGACCCACAGACTCACACAGAGACCCATAGACTCACGCAGAGACCCATAGACTCACACAGAGACCCACAGACTTGCATAGAAACTCACAGACTTACAAAGAGACCCCCCCCCCATCGACGCCATGACACATGGAAACCCACAGACTCACATAGAGAGATGTTCATGACGGTTTTGATTGAAATAATGGCGGCGATGATGATCGTGGTGTTGGCGGTGATGATGATGGTAGTTACGATAATGATGGTAACATCGATGGTAGTGGTGGTGTTGGTGGTGGTTCAAACCCGGCGACCCGGGTTCGATTCCCGCTCTACGGCCATCGGCACCGGTGACGATTCTCTGAACCGGTCCCGGGCCTCGCCTAGCTCGACTCAGCCTCAAATGAGCACCTGGTGCGGTGTGTAGTAAACATCGCAACCGGGGAGACAAAGGCGGCCGGGCGTGCCGACTGGCCACCGACCCCGTCGTGTGCCACCGTGCCGGCCTTCGTAGTAAGCTGCTCGCTAACAGCACTTGCCCCAGCAGTCTGCCAAGGCTACATGGGAATGCTGATCTTCGTTTTTTGGTGTCGTCACCGTCATACGGATCTCGCCTTTTCCACCTTCCGCTCAGCTTCGCAGAATCCAAGGCGACATCGAAGCTCATATTCCAGCTGATGAAGACGCCTACCACGTGAGTGGCGTGTTCGTGTCGCTGGCGTTTGGGCACCACGTGATCATCGGAGTCGCCGTCGTTTTAGAAAATCTGCAACGCCCAGATTTCTTCTTATTCGTTCTCCAGAGAGGGAGGGGAATGATTTCGGAGACGGAGAAAAGATGCAGTGGGAAGGGGTGACTCGGAGAGAGAGGGAATGAATCGTCGAGAAAGAATGATTCGGTGAGAGAGAGAGAGCGAGACCACGATTCCGAGATGGAGAATATTCGGGAACGAGGAGGAGGAGGAGGCATCGACTGCCGATGCGCGTTCATCCATTTCTGTGGAGCCGCTTTGTGTTTTGAGCGTGTTGTCCGTACGCCGCACCTCCGATTAGCACGGTTGGCTATGCACGGTGCGAAAGAAGTTCTACATTCATAGACTCGACACTGCCCCATAGACTCAACACTGCCCCATAGACTCAGCACTGCCCCATAGACTCAGCACTGCACCATAGACTCAACACTGCCCCATAGACTCAACACTGCCCCATAGACTCAGCACTGCCCCATAGACTCAACACAGCACCGTAGACTCAACACTGCCCATAGACTCAACACTGCCCACAGACTCAACACTGCACCATAGACTCGACACTGCACCGTAGACTCAACACTCCCCATACACTCAACACTGCCCACAGACTCAACACTGCCCATAGACTCAACACTGCCCACAGACTCAACACTGCACCATAGACTCAACACTGCCCATAGACTTAACACTGCCCACAGACTCAACACTGCCCATAGACTCAACACTGCCCACAGACTCAACACTGCACCATAGACTCAACACTGCACCATAGACTCAACACTGCCCATAGACTCAACACTGCCATTAGACTCAACACTGCACCATAGACTCAACACTGCCCATAGACTCATCACTGCACCATAGACTCAACACTGCCCATAGACTCAACACTGCCCATAGACTCAACACTGCCCATAGACTCAACACTGCACCATAGACTCAACACTGCCCATAGACTCAACACTGCCCATAGACTCAACACTGCCATTAGACTCAACACTGCACCATAGACTCAACACTGCCCATAGACTCATCACTGCACCATAGACTCAACACTGCCCACAGACTCAACACTGCACCATAGACTCAACACTGCACCATAGACTCAACACTGCCATTAGACTCAACACTCCACCATAGACTCAACACTGCACCATAGACTCAGCACTGCCTATAGACTCAACACTGCCCACAGACTCAACACGGCACCTCCGATTAGCACGGCCGGCTACGTACGGCGCGAAAGAAGTTCAACGTCCACACAACGTGCACACAACGTCCACACAACGTGCACACAACGCGCACGCAACGTGCACACAACTCACACGCTGCAATTCTCTCCGACGATTCCAGGAGAGGAGTTCAGCACTCGACCCGCCTCCTCGTCGACCCCAGCGCAACTGCGCGAGTTGGGACCCCTGGGAGCCACTGGAGGATGAGGTGGAGGTGGACGCCTCCTCGAGTCCACCACGAAGGTGCAGGTGGAAGTCGCTCGCCGCGGACGACGCTCGCTCCCTTCGGCGAGATTTGGCCGTCGACCATCGAATCGCCGTCGCTGAGATTCACGCCCAGAACCGGGAGCTCGAGGAGGCGAAGCGAGGTGCCAAAGGGCGACTCGGCGGGGGGAGGGGGGTGGTGGTGGAGTGGGGTGGAGTGGGGGTGGTGGAGTGGTGGTGGAGTGGGGGTGGTGGGGGTGGAGTGGGGGTGGTGGAGTGGTGGTGGGGGTGGTGGAGTGGGGGTGGTGGGGGTGGAGTGGTGGTGGAGTGGGGGTGGTGGGGGTGGAGTGGGGGTGGTGGAGTGGTGGTGGGGGTGGTGGAGTGGGGGTGGTGGGGGTGGAGTGGGGGTGGTGGAGTGGTGGTGGGGGTGGTGGAGTGGTGGAGTGGGGGTGGTGGAGTGGTGGAGTGGAGGTGGTGGAGTGGGGGTGGTGGAGTGGGGGTGGTGGGGTGGTGGAGTGGGGTTGGTGAAGGTGGTGGAGTGGGGGTGGTGGAGTGGTAGGGTGGGGGTGGTGGAGTGGTGGTTGGGGTGGTGGAGTGGAGGTGGTGGAGTGGTGGAGTGGGGTTGGTGGAGTGGGGGTGGTGGAGTGGGGGTGGTGGAGTGGTGGTGGAGTGGGGGTGGTTGGGTTGGTGGAGTGGAGGTGGTGGTGGAGTGGTGGGGATGGTGGGGGTGGTGGGGGTGGTGGAGTGGTGGTGGTGGAGTGGGGGTGGTGAAGTGGTGGTGGTGGAGTGGTGGTGGAGTGGGGGTGGTTTGGGTGGTGGAGTGGAGGTGGTGGAGTGGTGGAGTGGGGTTGGTGGAGTGGGGGTGGTGGAGTGGGGGTGGTGGAGTGGTGGTGGAGTGGGGGTGGTTGGGTTGGTGGAGTGGAGGTGGTGGTGGAGTGGTGGGGATGGTGGGGGTGGTGGGGGTGGTGGGGGTGGTGGGGGTGGTGGAGTGGGGGTGGTGGAGTGGGGGTGGTGGAGTGGGGGTTGTGGAGTTGAGGTGGTGGAGTGGAGGTGGTGGGGGTGGTGGAGTGGGGGTGGTGGAGTGGGGGTGGTGGGGGTGGTGGGAGTGGTGGAGTGGGGGTGGTGGAGTGGGGGTTGTGGAGTTGAGGTGGTGGAGTGGAGGTGGTGGAGTGGGGGTGGTGGGGGTGGTGGGGGTGGTGGGGGGTGGTGGAGTGGGGGTATAGAATTTAGTTTGAGTCACTTTCATTTACTTGTGTGTAAGCGGATTCATCGTTGCAATTAATTCAGCTTACAAATATACACGGCGGGCATATTCGTAGGAGTTTAACAACACATTGCAGGCTTTCACGACCAATATCATCCATAACATATGTTTTTTTTTTTGTTAGATAGCGAAAAATATCTAAGCCATTTAACCCCCAAAAAATCCTATATTATGGATATTTGAAGACTGGCTCTCCCAAGGCAATCGGGCCACCGTTCTCACACGTGGAGACCACCAAGCATCAGGGATGGAGGGAGAGAGGAGGGATGGAGGATGGAGGGATGGAGGGATGGAGGGAGGAGGAGGGAGGGAGGGGGAGGGAGGAGGGAGGGAGGAGAGGGGGGGAGGAGGGGAGGAGGGAGGAGGGAGGAGGGAGGAGGAGAGAGGAGGAGGGAGGAGGAGGGAGGGAGGGAGGGGGGAGGGAGGGAGGGAGGAGGAGGGGGAGGAGGAGGGAGGGGGAGGGAGGAGGGGAGGAGGAGGGAGGAGGGAGGGAGGGAGGGGAGGGAGGGAGGAGGGAGGGAGGGAGGGAGGGAGGAGGGAGGGAGGGAGGGAGGAGGGAGGGAGGAGGGAGGAGGAGGGGAGGGAGGGAGGGAGGAGGGAGGAGGGAGGGGAGGAGGGAGGGAGGAGGGAGGAGGGGGAGGGAGGAGGGAGGAGGGAGGGGGAGGGAGGAGGGAGGGGAGGAGGGAGGGAGGAGGGAGGAGGGAGGAGGGAGGAGGAGGAGGGAGGAGGGGGAGGGGAGGGAGGAGGGAGGGATGGAGGAGGAGGGAGGGAGGGAGGGAGGGATGGAGGGAGGATGGATGGAAGGATGGATGGAGGAGGAGGGATGGAGGGAGGAGGGAGGGATGGAGGGAGGGAGGAGGAGGGATGGAGGGAGGAGGATGGAGGGATGGAGGGAGGGATGGAGGAGGGGGAGAGGGAGGAGTGGAGGGAGGAGGAGGGCTGGAGGGAGGAGGGAATGGAGGGCGCGGAGGAGGGATGGCGGTGAGGGATGGAGGAGGAATGACGGGAGGGCTGGGATGGAGGAGGAGGGATGGAGGGAGGAGCGGATGCGAGGGAGGAGGGAGGGATGGAGGGAGGGATTGGAGGGGAGGGAGATGGAGGGAGGAGGGAGGAGGGGAGGGAGGAGGATGGAGGGATGGGAGGAGGAATGGATGGAGGAGGAGGAGGGATGGAGGGAGGAGGGGATGGAGGGAGGAGAGGTGGAGGGATGGATGGGAGGGGTGGAAGGGAGGATGGAGGGAGGATGGAGGGAGGAGGGAGGGGGAGGGAGGAGGGAGGGGAGGGAGGGAGGGAGGAGGGAGGGAGGGAGAGGAGGAGGGAGGGAGGAGGGAGGGAGGAGGGAGGAGGGAGGAGGGAGGGAGGGGAGGAGGGAGGAGGGAGGAGGGAGGGAGGGGGAGGGAGGAGGGAGGAGGGGAGGAGGGAGGAGGAGGAGGGAGGAGGGAGGAGGGAGGGAGGAGGGAGGGAGGAGAGGAGGGAGGAGGAGGAGGGAGGGAGGGAGGGAGGGAGGAGGGAGGGAGGAGGGAGGAGGGAGGGAGGAGGGAGGGAGGGAGGGAGGAGGGGGAGGGAGGAGGGAGGAGGGAGGGAGGGAGGAGGAGGGAGGGAGGGAGGAGGGGGAGGGAGGAGGGAGGAGGGAGGGAGGGAGGGAGGAGGGAGGGAGGGAGGGAGGAGGGAGGAGGGAGGAGGGAGGGAGGGAGGAGGGAGGAGGGGGGGAGGAGGGGGGAGGAGGGGGAGGGAGGGAGGGAGGGAGGGAGGAGGGAGGGATGGAGGGAGGGATGGAGGGAGGGAGGGAGGGAGGAGGAGGGATGGGAGGGATGGAGGGAGGAGGATGGGAGGGAGGAGGGATGGAGGGAGGGATGGAGGGAGGAGGGAGGAGGGAGGGAGGGAGGGATGGAGGGAGGAGGGGATGGAGGGAGGGATGGATGGAGGGGAGGGATGGAGGGAGGGGATGGAGGGAGGAGGGAGGGAGGGATGGAGGGAGGAGGATGGAGGGAGGAGGGATGGAGGGATGGAGGGAGGAGGGATGGGATGGAGGGAGGATGGATGGAGGGAGGGTGGAGGAGGGAGGGATGGAGGAGGGATGGAGGATGGGAGGGAGGGAGGGAGGGAGGAGGAGGGAGGGAGGGATGGAGGGATGGATGGAGGGATGGGAGGGAAGGGATGGAGGGAGGAGGACGGATGGAGGAGAGGGATGGAGGGAGGAGGATGGAGGGAGGGAGGATGGAGGGAGGAGGGATGAGGGAGGGGAGGGAGGGAGGAGGGATGGAGGGAGGAATGGAGGAGGGAGGGAGGGAGGGATGGAGGGAGGAGGGATGGAGGAGTAGGGAGGGAGGGAGGTAGGGATGGGGAGGATGGATGGGGAGGGAGGGAGGAGGGAGGAGGGATGGAGGGAGGAGGGAGGGATGGAGGGAGGGAGGAGGGAGGGATGGAGGAGGGCGATATAACCCGACCACGCACAACACCGCACAGATGGACGCAAGAATCCCACTTCCGTACCGCCTGGGCACGGCGCGCTATTGACACGAGCAAAGCCCGGCCGCAGGGTAGAAACCAACCAACGAGCCGTGATCAGGACACAAACACTCGGCGCGGGCTACCTCGGGGTCACGGCGTGCGGGTTGGGGGTAAACACAAACACAAGAGGGTGTGATGACTCGCACGCGTTCACGAGAGAGGTATTGGGTTTTAGTCCCCGGGGGGCACCGATCGGCTTTCCAGAGCAATTTTCACGAGCTGCGTTTGTTTGAGCGAGTGCAAAACAAGCAGAAAAGCGAAGAACTCGCTCGCGGATGGTTTCCATCTTCTGCGTGTCATCAGCATCGCGGTGGCTCGGAGATGTTGACTACCTCGCCTGGTCTACAGGAGGTCGTGGGTTCGATCCCGGTCCCTGACGATGCCTGCTGCTGTATATTTGGAGTTTGCATCTCTCTCTCTCTCATCATCATCAAGGTGGCTAGGAGATGTTGACTACCTCGCCTGGTGTACAGGAGGTAGTGGGTTTCGATCCTGACCCCTCACAATACCTGCTGGGTCTGTCCCGTGACCTCCTCCTCCTGTACCTAGCCTGGCACAGCAGTCAACCCATGGCACCTGCTGGGTCTGTCCCGTGACCTCCTCCTGCACCTAGCCTGGCACAGCATGGCACCACCTGGGGCTGTCCCGTGACCTCCTGCACCTAGCCTGGCACAGCAGTCAACCCATGGCACCACCTGCGTTTAGACTAATTCGATGATTTTGCTGCTATAAAATGTCCAAATGATGTTGAGCTATCATTTGTGGCCAGGTCGCTTTTGAAAAACAAGTTAACACCTCAGTGGGACTTTGCCTGGTAGGATGGGGATGGTTGAGTGTTCTATGTGTCTGTGTTTGGGTGATGTGTTCACCTTTCTTATACTTTGCACTCCTATGTGTTTGTTCTGTAATTGTGTTTGCTGTTGTAACGTTTTACTGGAAGGAACCTCCTGGTTACACCAGCCCACAGGGGATTATTGTGTCCGTCGTGCAGGGAGGGGCTGGGTGGGGAGGGGAGGGTGGGGAGGGGCTGGGTGGGGAGGGTGGGGCTGGGTGTGGAGGGGAGAGTGGGGAGGGGCTGGGTGGGGAGGGGCTGGGTGGGGAGGATGGGGCTGAGTGGGGAGGGGCTGGGTGGAGAGGATGGGGCTGGGTGGGGCTAGGTGGGGCTGGGTGGGGAGGGGCTGGTCACCCCGTGGTGCCCTTACAAAACTCAACGTTTAACCTACTCACGCCGGCTTGTGCCCGCCCTCACAGTCGGGCATATTTGCGGAATACACCACGCCGCCGTTGACCCTGCAGGCCATTGACCGAGCAACCCAACAACGTTCCTACCAGCTCCCTCCGCAGGAGGACAATGTGTTCACCCCGTGTCCCCGACTTGGAAATCTCTGAAAAAGAGCTTTATAGCTCTTCGGATTCCTCCTACAGGAGCGGGGTGAGGGAGGAGACCGCTCATGAAGAAAGTTATTTTTAAAAATGTGTTTAATTTTATTTGAACATTTTAACTGAAATCTCTCCTCCCCAGTGCTTGGACAGCGCATCGAGTCCCTGCGAGCGAGGCCCAGGGAGCCCGAGGCGAGCCCGCAGGGCCTCCGGGAGACCCTGCAGGAGTTGGGCTCCCAGGGGAAGAGGACGCAGCGGCAGCTGCAGGCGCTCAGGAAAGACGTGAGGCTTCTGCAGGCCGACGTGGGCAGGTGAGTTAAATAGGGGGGTGAGGGGAGGGTGAGGTGAGAGTGGGGGGGGAGTTGAGGTGAGGGGGTGGGTGGTGAGGGTGGAGGGGTGAGGGGGTGGGTGGTGAGGGTGGGGGGGTTGAGGTGAGGGGGTGGGTGGTGAGGGTGGAGGGGGGGGGTGTGAGGGGGTGGGTGGTGAGGGTGGGGGGGGGGTTGAGGTGAGGGGGTGGGTGGTGAAGGTGGGGGGTGTGGTGAGGGGGTGGTGAGGCGAGGGGGTGGGGGGTGTGGTGAGGGGGTGGGTGGTGAGGGTGGGGGGGCTTGAGGTGAGGGGGTGGGTGGTGAGGGTGGGGGGTGTGGTGAGGGGGTGGGTGGTGAGGGTGGGGGGGTGAGGGGGAGGGGGGGGGTGGTGAGGGTAGGGGGGGGGTTGAGGTGAGGGGGTGGGTGGTGAGGGTGGGGTGTGTAGTGAGGGGGTGGGTGGTGAGGGTGGGGGAGGGGGGTGAGGGGGTGGATGGTGAGGGGGGTGGTGAGGTGAGGGGGTGGGTGGTGTGGTGAGGGTAGTGAGGTGAGGGGTGGGTGGTGAGGGTGGGGGGGGGGGTTGAGGTGAGGGAGTGGTGGTGAGAAGGTGGTGGGGGGGGTGGGGTGGTGAGGGGGGGTGAGATTGGGGGGGGGTGAGGTGAGAAGGTTGTGAGGTGGGGGGGGGGGGTGAGGGGGTGGTGGGGTGAGGGGGTGGGTGGTGTGGTGAGTGGGGTTGGTGAGGTGGGGAGGGGAGGGTGGTGAGGTGAGGCGGTGATAAGATGAGAGGGAGGTAGGTTGGCAGGGATAGGTGAGGGGGGGGTGCTGTGGAGAATGGTGAGGGGTAAATGTGAGTGGTGGTGAGGTGAAGAGTAGTGAGGTGGGGGGGGGGGGTGAGAAGGTCGTGAGGGTGGGGGGGTGGGTGGTGAGGGTGGGGGGGTGAGGTGAGGTGAGGGGGTGGGTGGTGAGGGTGGGGGGGGGGGGTGGTGAGGTGGCGAGGTGAGAGGGTGGTGGGGGGGGTGAGAAGGTTGTGAGGTGAGGGGGTGGGTGGTGAGGGTGGGGGGGGTGAGGTGAGGGGGTGGGTGGTGAGGGTGGGGGGTGGTGAGGTGAGGTGAGGGGGTGGGTAGTGAGGGTGGGGGGGGTTGAGGTGAGGGGGTGAGTGGTGAGGGTAGAGGGGTGAGGTGAGGTGAGGGGGTGGGTGGTGAGGGTGGGGGGGTGGTGAGGTGAGGTGGCGAGGTGAGAGGGTGGTGGGGGGGGTGGTGAGGGGTGAGGAGAGTGGTGAGCGGGTGGTGATGAGGGAGGGGGTGGCGAGCTGATGGGTGGTGATGTGAGGGAGTGATGGTGAGGTGAAGGTTAGCTGAACCCTTTCTTGGGCCTCCCCTAGGTCGACTCAGCCTCAAATTAGCACCTGCTGCGGTGTGTAGTAAACATCGCCATTAGGGAGACAAAGGCGGCCGGGCGTGGTGCTGGCCACCCACCCCCTCGTGTGCCACAGTGCCGGCCTTCATAGCCGCTACGCTAACGGCACTTGCCCCATCAGTCTGTTAGAGGCTACACGGGGGATCTTTGTCTTTGTATGGTGAGGTGTAGGGCAGTGAGTTGGGTGAGGTGAAAGGGATAATTCGCTAAAGGTGAGGGGTTAATCGGTCCACTTCCAGTCAGATAAGGTGAGCTGTTTCTTTATCTTCGTGTTGTATGAACGCTTATCTTGTATCTTGTATTTTTCGTTATCTCGTATCGGGTATTATTGTGCGTATGTGTGCGTCGTTCTATGGCGGTTGGACCTGGGCACTTAAACCTCGTTAATTATTGACTCAGAAACACTGGAAGGTTAGGCGCAGGTGGGAGCGGTTGTGGCTCTAACGAGTGCCTGGGTGAGGTGTGGTGCAGTAAAACATCGCCACTGGGGAGACAAAGGCGGCCGGGCGTGGTGCTGGCCACCCACCCCCTCGTGTGCCACAGTGCCGGCCTTCGTAGGTGCTCGCTAACAGCACTTGCCCCGACAGTCTGTTAAAGGCTATTCGGGGGACCTTTGTCTTTGTCTCCTTCATAGGTGCTCGCTAACAGCACTTGTCCCGACAGTTTGTGAGAGGCTACACGGGGGACCTTTGTCTTTGTCTCCTTCATAGGTGCTCGCTAACAGCACTTGTCCCGACAGTTTGTTAGAGGCTACACGGGGGACCTTTGTCTTTGTCTCCTTCATAGGTGCTCGCTAACAGCACTTGTCCCGACAGTTTGTGAGAGGCTACACGGGGGATCTTTGTCTTTGTTTCCTTCATAGGTGCTCGCTAACAGCACTTGCCCCGACAGTCTGTTAGAGGCTACACGGGGGACCTTTGTCTTTGTCTCTGTGCCATGTTCCCGCCAAGGATGCTGTTTGGCCAGGTGGATGGGGGGCCTGTGGCCCCCCGTGACGAGCCGGGCCCCCCACACAAAGTGGAGCCCCTTGAGCCCCCCACTCACGAGGCGCCGGTCTACACGGGGGGGCGACTGTCAGCCGAGATCAGGTAAACAACAACAACAACAACGATACTAACAACAACAACAAACTACACAATAACAACAACAACGAGAATAACAGCAATAACAATAGACACAACGGCAACAATAACAGCAACAACAAACGCAACAACAACATGGCAACAATAACAAAAATGACATAAACAATAGCAACAAACACACAACAACAATAACAGCAACAAAAACAAAAAAGAACAATAACATCAACATCAATAACAAAAAACAACAGTAACATCAACAACAATAACATCAATAACAATAACGTCAACAACAATAACAGCAACAACAATAATAGCAACAACAATAACAGCAACAACAATAATAACAATAACAGCAACAACAATTACAAGAAACACCAGCGGTGGTGTAGCGGTTAGCGCTACGCTGCGCTACGAACCTGGCGACCCGAGTTCGATTCCCGCTCACGGCCAACAACACTCAGTGACGATTATATGAACCGATCCTGGGCCTCCCCTAGGTCGACTCAGCCTCAAATGAGTACCTGGTGCGGTGTGTGGTTAACATCGCCACTGGGGAGACAAAGGCGGCCGGGCGTGGTGCCGGCCACCCACCCCCTCGTGTGCCATGCCGCCTTCATAGGTGCTACTCGCTAACAGCACTTGCCCCTACAGTCTGTTAGAGGCTACACGGGGGATCTTTGTCTTTGTGTGTGTGTGGATGTGTGTGTGGATGTGTGTGTGTGGATGTGTGTGTGTGGATGTGTGTGTGTTGATGTGTGTGTGTGGATGTGTGTGTGTGGATGTGTGTGTGTGGATGTGTGTGTGTGGATGTGTGTGTGAATGTGTGTGTGGACGTGTGTGTGTATGTGTGTGCGTGTGTGGATGTGTGGATGTGTGTGTATGTGCGTGGATGTGTGTGTGGATGTTTGGATGTGTGTGGATGTGTGTGTGTGTCTTGCACATGCGCTGCTGCATCTCGCCAACAGCACTTGCCCCAGCAGTCTGTTAGAGGCTACACGGGGCACCTTTGTCTCTTGTGCGCAGTGCGTTGCGGATGATGTACGCGCGGGGAGGGGGCGGCAACGCCGCGCGTGTTGGACGCCCTCAACGAGCTGCTGTGCCGAGCCCAGGCCGCGGAGATGGGTGCGAAGGGAGGCGCCCATCTCCCCGAGGCCCGCCAACCCCGCCGGCGACACCGCAGGCCCCCCCGTGAGACCGTCGGAGGGGTGGGGGGTGTGTGGGGGGGTGTGTGTGGGGGGGGGTGTTGTGGGGGGGTGTGTTGGGGGTGTGGGGGTTTGTTGGGGGTTGTGGGGGTTTGTGTTGGGGTGTGTGGGGGGGGGTGGGGGGGGTGGTGTTGGGGGGTTGTGGGTGGGGGTTTGTGTTGGGGTGTGTGGGGGGGGGGTGGGGGTGTGTTGGGGGGTTTGTGTTGGGGTGTGTGGGGGGGGGGGGTATGGGGGGTGTGTGGGGGGGGTGTGTGG